CCCACACTTGGGGTTGAAACCAGTTTCATGTTTTTCGCCGATATGAAACAGTGTCCCACCCCCCCCCCCTCTTTCCCTGTTGTTTTTTAACCTCCTCCCCCTTTATTCGCGCAAATGTGTAACAACTCCAACCATGAGGGAATCTTGCCCCCGTTACCAAACCCTACAAGCTGTGAAAAGAACACACCGTGTTGGTGGGCTGTGGTGGAAAAACCCATTTTTTGTCATTGGGAAGTTCCATAATGCCCTAGCGAAGCCACAATTGTCAGAAAGTCCCACTTTTCCGATTGACAAACGGTTCCTTAACACATTGGGCCAAGCATTTTTTGGGGTGCTAATAGAACACAACATATATACGAATGCATTGCTTTGGTTTAGGTGGGGGCCCTCTAAATCCCTAACACGGTGACATTTCGGTTGTGGCCGCGGGAAAGTTCTCAAAGTTCAAAATGAGGCCCCCGGGAAATTCTGGTTGTTTAATGAAAAAAAATCTTTCCCCCCCACCCCACCGTCCCCACCTCCCTCCACTCCATTGCCCCACAGGAGATCCCCTCCCATGGATTGCCTGTTTTTCAGAAAGGGCCTTTCCACCCTTTCACAGTTGGGGCAGTCCCACCATGAATTTGTCCCCAATCTGGTATTATCCCCCCATGGACCCCCAACCCCGCCTAATGTGCCCAAGTTTCAACAAAAACCGTACACCCCCTCCGCTGATTTCTTCCCCCCCATAGACCCCCTGCCTGTGTATCTTTTTGCTCCCCTTACATTACTCAATCCCATTACCTCACGCCATTTTAAAATTGTTTTGTGTAATTGGCTTTATGCCCTAGCCTAAATTCCCCCCCCAACCCTGGAGAGAAGGGAGTGAGTGTTTTTTTTTTTGTTTAACGGTTCAGACAACGGGGAAAGAAGGTGCCTGTGGGGTCCAGGCTGGAAAAAGCCCCAGCATGGGAAGGGGTGGTTGGGTTGGGGTTCCATGTGCGCAAGTTCCAATGGTTTTTTTGAAGAACGAAAACCTGTTGTTTTTTTCCCAGAACCGCGTTTCGATCTGACTGACTTGGAGAGGGGATAAAGGGTAGATGTGGAAGAATGCCCCAGTCCCCGATCCTCACCATGTTACTGTAATCTTGAAAAAACCCATGCATAAAATTTAGTTTCAACTGGCCCACAAGGACTGGGTTTGTCCCCCACATTGTTTTTTTGCATTTATTTTTTTTGTTTTCAACATTTCCCATTATAAGTTTTTTTTTGTTGTATTACTTGGCCAACTTTTTTTTTTTTCTTTTTATTCAAAAGCCAGCTACTATGGGGTGGGCAAGCTAAATTATGTCCTAAAACCTCAATTATGGTGGGGGAAAAACTCCAATTGGTTAATTTTACACCACAAATTCGTTTTTTTGCCAGTGTGGGTGTCGGGGGCAATGAAAAATGGAACAAGAAAGAGCAAAAGTCCCCCCCCCCCCGAGACTTGAAAATCGGATGGAATCTTTTTTAGGGTCTTTTTCCATTGTTGTTGTTTCCCCCAACTTTTTTCCCCTTTAGGGCTTTTCACCTACATCCCCCAAGTTTTCCGACCTGCTTCCACGGTTTTCCGTGGCCCACTTTCTCCCACAAATGAGGCTCAGAAAATGTTTGTCCCCCGGACAGGCCCAGAAAGTGAAATTGTGTAAACAAGAAATCCTGGGGGCTTCGCTCTTTTTTGTTGGAAGTCCCCAGTCATTTCACTATTTTTTGGGGTGCATTGGGAAAAAAAAAAAAAAATCCCTCCCCCCAGTGTGGCAAAGGTTGTTTGTGTTTCTTGTTGTGGGGTGGGACCTCCCAGGTTTACAAGTGGTCCTGAAACTGGGAAAGTTTTATTCACTTTCCTCTCCCTGGTTGGTCAAATAAGCTCCCAACAAACAGTTTTTTTGGGTCCCCCCTTTTCCCCTCCCCGGTTGGGGGGGTCCCGCCCCCGTATGGGAAAAACACATAGAGAACAATGTAATTCCCTTTATCCCCTTTGGGTCCCCCCAATTCCCCTGTTCCCCGGTAAACCCAAACCCCCCAGTTTTTTGTCGGACCCAGCCTTGAAAGGACAAAGCTTCGCCCTAACTTCTTTTGCTGGAAATGAGTGCCCGAACCCCTGCTAAATGACCAGGGGTTTCCACCTGTTTTTGGTGCCGGCGACTGGCCAGACGTGTGTTTTGGTGTGGGCCTCCCACACTCCCTGTGCATCTCCGAGTGAACCTTATAGACGAATTAAAGCAAACCGGGGCAAACACATGATATTTAACATGTTCCCCTCTCCTTTTCACCCACTTTGACCACACCTCCCCTTTAACTAAGGTACGTCAAATCTAACCTACCTTATTAGGGTGGTGTTTTTTTTTTTTGTCCAGTTTTATATTGTATTGCCCCGGGCAGTTTTTACCAAAGTTTTCTTATCGGGAAATCCACTGGTGGTATGAAAAAGTTTTTTTTTGGCTTTATCCCGCGTGAGTTCGCCGTTTTTTGGGTCCAATCCCCTATCATCCTAGCCCCCCGTCGTCCCCTCCCTCCCTTCCGACCCTCCCTTTGGTTAGTGAAGAGGTAGGCGGGCGAATGAAGCCTCTGACCAGGCGCCTAGTGAGGCTAGGCAAGGTGCACCCTCCTTGCCCAGCCCTGGCAGAGTTTCCTACAAACGCTTCACCTAACTTTGTTCTTTCGTTTTTTTTTTTTCTTCCTTTCCTACATTCAAGTTTGAGGCCTGCAACTCCCCACTGGGTACTGTATGCATTATCACCACGAGAGTTAAAGGGAGAACTAGAAGTCAACTCACACTTTCTACTGTTGATTGTGAGCCTACACAAGTATAATGTAGCAGAGCACTAATCAAGTGTAGTTGTTGCTATATACACCCTTCAATGTTTTTAGCTGGCTCTCTCTCTCCTTGAATCCCTGCATAAAATACTTCCCTCCTCCTCTCCCTTCCTCTCTCCCTCCCCATCCAGCCAGCTCTGCTGTACCACACGTCAGCTGTCTTTGCCTCAGCTCTCGAGACGGCCACTCTCTTCTACCGCACCCATCACAACCTCACCACCCTCCCTCTTCTCACCGACAGTCTCACCGCTGCTGGGAGAAAGGTAACCTACGGCTGATCAAAACGGCTAACTGAGAGTGAAAATACAGTCGGATTTCTAAGTCCATGAGCTTAATACTGTGAAGATTTTTGTCATCCAAGCTTACAAAAAGTTTTCCTGGGCAAAGGGAAATAGTTACAGTGTATTATGTAAGTCAATGACATTGCAGATATGCAGTCTTGGAGTCTCTCTGCTGCTCCTGCCCGTTTTCCACTTCCTCCCTCCCCATGGCAACCCCTGGCCCATTTCCCAGCTCGCCCTCTCTCTCTCGCTCTGGCCTCATCTCGTCTCCTGGTCTTCCCATCTGCTTCTCTTCCCTGACTCACCTCCCTGTCTTCCCCGGCCCTTCCAAACTCCTCAAAACCGTTTGGTCCAAGATCCAAAGAACGACACTCTGTCCCTAGCAACCAGCCTCAGAGGCACACCCCCTAATTACCACTCAAACGGTATATCTTTTGCAACAAAATTGTGCTTACCTCTACCAATCATCCATGCAATTTTTGGAAAGCTCTGGTGATGGAAAATGTTTTTGTCTGTCCACTATGGTGGGGTGTGCCACATCCACTCGCACGTATTCAATCTATTCACTCATCTCGTAAACCAATTCCATCCTATCGGAGACGTTCCCCCACCCCCCCCCAACCCCCTGGTCCCCCATCGGTTTTTAACATGTGTCGGGGCCCCTACCCGTCCCATTCCACAATTCACTCAAACCTGTTTTTCACAACTAGTGCGACTGTACAGCTTGCTGTGCTGCATCCAGAAGCCCCTCCCACTTGCCACACACCAACTTTATTTCCCAGAATTCTATCAACCAGCGACATAATGACAGTCAGACAGAAGGTAAGTACTGCTGGGTTGGTACATACCAGTTGTGAGTGAGACACAGGTTGTGCCCAAAATTCCATACTCAACAACAACCTTTAAGGTCCACGCCCAAAGCTTAAGGATAGTTTTTGGGGTGGTCGTCCTCTGTCCTTTTTCCGCGCCCACCTTGGTTGCGCCTCAAAATGCGAAAAATCATTGACAACACCCTTTCTTTGAGGGGGAATAAGCAAAAAACAAATTTGGGGCCGAGACTTAGGAATGGTGGCAGCGAGGTAGAAAAGATGGCACCATTTCCATACTCCCCAAACTGATAGTCAAAGGTATTAAGGATAATGGGCTTGTCCTCTTGTCTTTTTCGTCCACTCATGTTCGCCTACAGCTAGCATCGTTGATACACCTTGAATAATTATAGGGGAACAGCGAAATTTGGGCGAGATAGTGGTGCCATAGTTTGTGCAGCAAGCGAGATCGAAAGATGGTTACCATTCCATCACGCCAACTTGGAAAGTCGAGTATTAAGGATAGTGGGCTTGTTCTCTTTTTTCTCTTTTCCACTGTCATGTGCCTACAAAATGATTGCGAAACTCGTGACACACCTTATATAGCAAAAGCCGAATTTTGGGGCGAGAATAGGGACCAAATAGGTGGGCAACAGAATAGAAGATGTCAACCATTCTCTCCCGCCATAGCTCAACCTTATGTCGTCAAAGCATATAATGATAGTTGTCGTCTATTTTTTCTAGTCCCGCTCATTATGTGCCTACACAAAAAATTTGGCGAAAGATCGTTGACACCTTTTATAGAAACAGCCGAATTTGTGGGGCGAGATGGGATCGGTGCAGCCGAGAGAGAAGAAATGGTCACATCCCCATACTTTCCAACGTGAAGTCAAGTATTAGTGCTCGTTGGTGGCTTTTGGTTCTCTTTTGTGTCTCTCCACTTCATGGTTTAGGGCCCTAACAAAACAAGGTGTGTTGCCTGAAAATCGTTGGCACACCCGTTTTAAAATATAGGGGTGGACAGCGAAATTTGGGCGCATGAGATGGGGAAAAATTAGGTGCAGCGAGATAGAGATATGGTACCATTCCATACTCCCACTTGGAAAATGTCCCAAAGTATTAAGGATAGTTGGCTTGTTTTCCCCTCTTTTCACTTTTTCACTCACTGAATTTGGGCCCTACAACAAAGCGAAATTGGTTGACACCTTTAGAATACGCGAAATCAATTTTTGGGCGAGATAGAGATTAAGGGTTTTTGGCCACAGAGAGAAGATATGTCACCATCCCATACAATTTGCACGTTGGCAATTTAAATCTTATTCTTGTCGGTACAACACACAGCAGAAAAATTGATATTTATTGAAAAAACCTGCCGTAAAAAATGCCCTGTTTGTAGTGGACTCTGGTGTTGGTCTACCTCTCCTCTTTCTCACAGCACCAGTATGTTGGGCCCGTCTCTCGCCTACAGACACAGTCCAGCACCAAACACCTCCTCCTCTCTCTCCTCTCCCTCGTGAACCCCCGCCACACGCGACAGTTCCCCGCCTACGCCGAGACCTGTCTGGACCACGACAACACCGCTGAACTAGTTCAGAACGTTTCGTCGCTAGCTGATTGCTACTCTGTGGGGGGACCCCCCAGTGACGAGGACTCAGATTGAAACTGAAAATCAATCATCACACTGCAGGCATAATCACGATATTATGTGTACAACCGGTTCATAAAATTGATGGATAAAAACAAATCATTGTGTGTGTTTGTTTGTTAGACCAGAAGAACTGCATTGATGCAACCATCGTTTTCTGGATTGTTGGTAACCTGTGCATACTTGCCTGTGGGAGAGTTGAAAATTACGATGACGTCATCATTACATCACCACCTTACCCCACACTACTTTTCCACTCTGTGTCACTAAGCCAAGTTCACTAATATTTACCTGGAATGAGGGGCGAGAGAAGGAGATGAATACATAGTGAAGACCATAGATAACGAACTTCAATAATGGTTCCCTTGGTGATGACCCCTAGATTGGTAAAGGTCGGCGACTGGGGGTTCTTTTTCACTCCAATAATTGGTAGATGAAATGTTGCCTTCAACTGCCACGATTGACAGAGAGGAGAAACTTCAGACCAGAGGTGTTCAATAATGGTGGCTCACCTCTGGATGGGTGACGTGGCCTTCTTGAATCGAAGAGCCATCGGTCTGATGAACCTCTCGTACTTGGAGCTTCCTCGTAAACCCCTCCCCCACGTACGTTACCTTGGTTACCATGCGTTTCCACGACTTCTCTACAATGGGGATGATACCAAGGCACACGTGGTAACAGTAACGATGGGAGAGTGCTAACTTCGCCTCTTTCCAGACCGCAGAACCTTGAATACTTCATCTTCACCTACTGCTCTCACTTTTGGCAGAGGAACAGTCCATTTACCCTACACACAACACACAGACTATGTTAAAAGTGAAAGCATACAATTAAGTGTGGACTTACGGCTTTCTCCTTTCTCTTCTGTTTGATCATGTTGCTCAGGACTTTTGCTCTACTCTGGCCTTCTCTGTCCAGGAGGTAAGGTGGTACAGCCCCCTCGGGTACCACGTCGTCCCTCCTGTTTTTAGTCTTCCTCTCCTCATGCTGCTTGATCCTGTGAGCATCACACGACTGTCATGTGACTTATTGAGTATCACATTACTGTCACGTGACTTGTGCATGATTGTCATGTGACTTGCTGAGTGTATAGGACCTACTTTTTCCGCATGACAACCTTTTCCGCATATCTCTTCTTGTTGTAGAGCTTTGCCCTGTGGAATAAAGGTTACATCATCATGACATCACAACAATAAAAATGGTGCTCACTTTAGGCCATGGATCTTCTTTGCATACTCAGCTCTGGCATGTGGCTCTCTTCCAAGTTTCTTTCGCCTGGAAAGTGTTAAGTGAACCCTCTACAAACGCAGGTAGATAGTGGTATACTTTTTCTCGAAGTGGTCCAGGCGGTACCCGTGGCGCTTTCTGAAGAGCTCGATATACTCGTTCTGTGGCTGTTGATGGAGGGAGAGAGGGAAGGTCACCGGATTAGCTGCACACCTGCGTCAACTCACCATGACTGATAGAAATCACCACACGTGTGTTGTTTCCAAGTATTGCGCACCAAACCAGGCCTTCTCCAAATAAAGCACACCGAGTCGAACATCACGTGCGCCGACAAAACACGCCCGATAGATTAACAATCCCTCTCTCTCGGTCGATCTCTTGATCGCGATCTGAGCCAGTAAAGATGTCAGAAGACGAAGACAGCGTCCAGAATGGCGAGAACGGAGCGGAGGAAGAGGACGTGAAAGGAGCGCACGCCGTCTGTGTGAGCAAGGGGACGCAGGGCTACGGCTTCAACGTCCGCGGACAAGTGACTGAGGGCGGCCAGCTCAAGTCAATCGGAGGAGAGCTGTACGCCCCGATGCAGTACATCAGCGCCGTCCTGGAGGGCGGGCCGGGGGAGGACGCCGGGCTCAAAGTGGGAGACAGAATCTTGGAAGTGTAGGTTGCGTTTCTATAATAGTCTCGCTGGCCAGAGCCTCGGGGGAAAAGCTAGGCTAGGCGCTCTCTCTGCGCCGCGTGGGGAGTCTGGCTCTAGCGACGTTCCGCTTTGTGTACACGTCAGACATGTATGTGGGGAGGCGTGGTTTTCTAAGTCTGCGTTTATATATACACGCTGGATGTCGTCCATGCATTAGTGACACGTTTTATTGTCCGCCACGCTTTGCTGACAACCTCCCTCCGGCTATATTATGTACTTGCACAATTGCACATGAGGTGCCTGATGTATAGCGTGCAGAGCACAGTGTTGCCACATTTACAGTGGGAAGTGGGAACCTTTTACGAGAGTAAACTCTTGTGATTCGGTAGCAAGCGGGACTTTTGTTGCAAAGAGAGCTTTTTCGGCTCCATCCAAATGTCCCCACTCACAGTACTTTCACAAAGGACTTCAAAGCTGCTTAAATATTTGCAAAAGGTTTATACGCTCTGAAAGTTCCCGCTAATGGCACTGCTGCTGGTGGTATTGACTACTGATACCGTTGTGGTCCAGGAACGGGACGAGTGTGGAAGGCATGGACCACCAGTCGGTGGTGCAGCTGATCCGCAAGAGTGGGAACCACGTCAAGATGGTGGTCCTCTCTGTGTCCGACGATGAGGCGAGGCGGCTGGAGCCCGAGACCACCAACTCCAGCTCCGTAGGGATGGACTACTACGAGCGACGCTCCGTGCCGGTCACCGTCCCCACCTCCAAGAAGATGACAGATGAGTCTGGGAAGGAGTACGTCGCATTCAGCATCTGCATGGCCAGCAGAGAAATCGCCCCACGAAGATATCGAGAATTTGACGCTCTCAGCACTAACGTGAGACCATTCTCTACGTTACTATAATTTTCATTTTATCTGGCTTTTCTCTATTGCAGCTGAAACGACAATTCTCTGACTTTATTTTTCCAAAGTTACCAGGGAAACGACCTTTCGCCCTTAGCGATGCTCAGGTAGACGGAAGACGCCGGGGCCTTGAAGACTACCTAGAGAAAGGTCAGGGTACAGCGGAACCAGTTTTACTGGTTTTTCCAGTTTATTAAACCTGTTTCGCTCTCTCGTAGTGTGCTCGGCTAAAGTGATATTTGAAAGCGACCTGATGCAAGATTTTCTTCAGCTAAAAGGTCAGAATCCTCAGCCGGGAGGAGGGGGCAGGGCTGGGTTGGTTACCGAGGCAACAGCGGGTCAGTCGTCACGAGGACCTGCGGCAGAGAAGAAGGTTCAACTGAGAGTTCTTCTTCCCGACAAGACGGTTTCCACGATCACCGTCAGCGAATACTGGAGGACAAATGAAGTGTATGAGGTGAGGCAGAGAGGGAGAGAGGGTGGAGGTGTTTTGTCGCTGAATCTGAAATAGAACAGAGAATGGTGGAGAGAAAGAGGAAGAGTTTTCCCCGGTTCACGCGTCTCTGATTTTGTACAATACAGGAGTTGGCAGAGAAGATTGGGCTGAAGGAGAACGTGCGGAAGTTCTTCACTCTCTTTCTCAGAACAGGCGAAGGAATAGGTACGTGTCTCTCTCCCTCTCTCTCTCTCTCTCGTCTCGGTCATCCTCTCTCTGTCGTGGTGTGCAGACCGGAAGCTGCAGAACAACGAATTCCCACATCAAGTCTATTTGAAGGAGTACACTTCGTCGTCTGGCAGTGACAGCTGCATTCTCCTCAGAAAATGGCTCTTCTCACGAACACATGTGAGCCGTGGAACACTTCCATTATTGTCACATTCGCTTCTCTACAATCCCTCTTGCTCTTTGCACAATTCTTACAGAACACCCTCACACCCTGTAAGATCGGAAACACTCTGCTTAAAATAGAGACATGGGCACTTATAAAATGATCTTCCCTCTCCCTCCTTCCTCTCTCCACCCGTCTCTCCCTCCCTCTCTCCCTCCTTCCTCTCTCCCTCCGTCTCTCCCTCCTTCCCTCTCTCCCTCCGTCTCTTTCAGGAAGTGCTGGCCAGCAGTGACCCCGTGGCACTCAACCTGTTCTACCACCAAGCAGTCGATGACATTGGGAAGGGAAGGATACCGTGCCACGAGGAACTAGCTGCACTCAAATCTTTCAAAGCCCAAGGGAAAAAGAAAGAGGTTTGTCATTAATGTAGAGGCGGGAGCTAGAAACAAAGTAAGGGAAGGAAGAGCTAAAGAGTGGGAGAAAGAGATTTGTGTTCTTTCTTGTGCAGTTTCTGGACTTGGCTCGCTCGCTGCCTGGCTACAGCACTATCGTCTTTCCTCACTGCGAGTGTGACGCCAGGAAAGTGGGGCACGTGAAGGTGTCCCTCACTCTCCAGCAGCTGGTGCTCCAAGCCTGCAGCACAGACGGAGAAGACGAGGTTTGTATATATACATGATGCAGGGTTTTAGGAGGAAGGGATGAATTTTAGGAGCTAGATAATTATGGTGAAAGACGAAAGTTGCTAGAAACGAAAGACGAGTTAGGATTGAGATAGAGGGAAAGCAGATGTTAGTCTGCGAGAGAGGGAGAGGGAGAGGGAGAGGGGGAGGGAGAGGAGAGAGGAAGAGTAAAACTCGTTCCCTGTCTTCCTTGCAGCTGCAGAGCCCGTCCTTCAGCTGGGACCAGATCACCAGCTACGAGGCAGACCTCGAGGAGTCTGCATTCACCTTCCTCTACACCAGAGGAGAGGGGAAGGACCCTCGCTGGGTCAAAGTCTACTCGCCGTTTGTGAGTCACGTGGTGGAGTGGGTGTGGTGGAGTGGGCGGGGCTTGTGACTAATTGTTGTTTTGTCTCCACAGTTCAGATACATGGAGGAGTGTGTGGATCGAATCAATCAGGAGATCCTGTGGAAACAGGTAAACGTTTGTGAGGGAAGGTGATAATATTTTGCAGTCCAACTACAGTATGTATATTCTTTGCCATTTCCTGGTTCTATATTCTTCTATCTTGCTATAATTTATATATAATGTACTGCAGTAGAGGACACTTGATGTCCCCAAGGAGTAATAGAAGTTTCGTACCGTAACATGAACACACAACACTCCTCCCTCCCTATTCAGCCAGATGATGTTGAGCTGACAACCAAAAAGACCCACACCGCTGGTGCCAACCCCGCCCGCTCACGTGCTGCTAAGCAACAAGCAAGCATCACCAACGACGACCTGTGACCACGCCTACAATTGACGACATGCTGTATTATTCTTTACAAAGAAGAAAAACTTTGTGCTATGATATATATAGGTGGAGCTAAAACATAATGTGAACATGTATTAAAAGTAGGTGTATGTCTTGTGTTGTGTAAGTTGTTCATCTCCTTTCTTGACTTCCCAAACCTTATCTTGCTCCACCTGACTGTGTAAACAAGAAAAATGAGAAAATCTAACACACTGTCACACAATTCGTAAAAATTGCATGTAAATTTTGGGAGGTGTCCAAAAGTTTTCTATTGCATGTAAATTTTGGGAGGTGTCCAAAAGTTTTCTGTTGCCAATACAATGCTTGTTCATAACATTAACCACTGCTGTATGCAATGTTAGATACGTTGATGGCCTCCATTTCTGGACTGGTGAGAGGTAAGCGGCCAAATGCAATGGGAAGAGATGTCAGTGTAACAGAGTGCTGGCTGGCAGCTGGTCTGGTGGACAGAGAGGCAGAGGAAGAGGAGGGAGCTGGCTGCATGTGCTCCAGACTCAACCGAACTAGAGCTGAGGTGGAAGAAGAGAAGTGGAGAGAGAAGAGTTGATGTTTTCCCGCTCTTACGTTGTCCGTTGGAGTCTTTTCTTTGAGGAAACGTGATGAGCGGCGACCTACTCCCCGAATAAAGAACACTGGTGCTTGCTCTGATCCCTCTCCCGCCTCCTACAACCCATCTTTCCAGCCTCCATTGGACCAACATTTTCGAGCAGAATTCTTATTGACGCCCACCGGGACCCAATATGACGTCATTGTAAACTGAGTCGATGGATGGCGAGTGGCGGTAGTTCCAGTACCGTAGTCGGTGGAGGAGGAGGAAGAGAGTGGCAAGGAGACACGTCCGCTCTCACGTCACTCACTAAGTCCCGCAGCTTCTCGCATGGAGTCGAGACGGTGAGCCGCACGGAAAACGGAAGGAAATAGGCGGGGTTTTAGTTCTCTCTCTCTCTCTGTTAGGATATGGGGATAGCCCCCAGCCAGCGGCCTATGCATCTCTTCCCTCCCCCGCCGGCCCAACTGTCAGCCATCACACCAGTCACTGGGGGTGAGAGGCACAGGATGGACATTGCTCTACGACTAACAGAGCGCATCGAGTCCTGGTTCGGTACGGAAGGCAATCGGTTACTCTTATCCCACCCTTTCACACGTCTCTGTTCCATTCCAGGTTCAGTGGAACAGTTTCGGGACAGAGTGGTATGGGTATCAAAGTGAGTCTTACTTCTCTCTAAGGACACCCCTGAAACGAGACACCTCTCTAATAAAGAACAGTTTCTTGCGTGCAATTTCACCCCTGAAATAAGGACCCCCACTGATGAACTTTCTACTGTTCCATTGGTGTCAGGATTAGAGAGGTTCAACTGTCGGTCCCCATTAGTTAATTGGTAGGGGTTTCCCCCCAGGATTGTGATGGTGGACTGTGTCGGGTACCCATACCTCGTGTTCTCACGCCAGTGCCAGGTGTTTCCATACTCCACGCCCTCAGTCTCCGTCATTGCTCCGTTCTCCTCCATCGTCATCCTCCACAACATCGCCCGCTCCCAGGTCAGATTCCCGTACCGTCGTACTCCCGTTCCAGAGACTCTGGGAACCGTGATTGATTACCAATCTGTGCAGGGGCTCCAGGCGTGGTGGCGAGGATGGTACAGCCACATATTCCTGATGGTCAGCCAGAGATTCTCGCTCACTGTTCTAGACAGAGTTCTCAGTCCTCCAAGGTAGGCTGCGCTCTATGTAGCACTTGTGCAGTCACGTCTTACCTCATTCATACATAATTATGCATGCAGTAGTTTCTGTGCTTTACATACATAAGCTTTACATACTTTTTGTCTTAGTATCTGTCATGTCTTATAAAACACTTTTCTTAATAAATTGTCATCTAGCTCGTTGTAGGCACTGGTTAGGGATTCTCTCTCTGTTCTAGAGTCAGTGGTAGCTGGTGGAGCAGAGCCGGGTCATTTCTCAGCCACTACTCTTTCAGAGGGTAAGTTGTTTTTATCTGTTCCACTGCCTTTATCCCCCTCTCCCTCTCTCCTCTCTTCCTATTTTTGTAGGTTGGCGTATCTCTCAACTTATCCTCTTCTCTCCTTCAACATCCTAGAGATGGTCCAGGTAATTAGCAACCTCCGCTGACACAATTCACACTATGTGGCCCCTCACAACAGTACATCTGTAGTGGCCCCTCACAACAATCCTCATGACTTACACACTGTTAGCACACACAACATTTTATCCCCACTACAGTCTGAGCCAAAATAATTCTCGCTCAATTCAGAATCTCCACACAAGCTCCAATTGCAACATTTCTTATTCCAAGCCCTTTAGAACTTTCTCAATACTTCCAAGCACTAACGGAATGCTCACAAGTTTCCGAGGCCAGCCTCTTCTCCGGTAAAAGCTCCTCCTCCCTCTCCTCCTCCTTCTCCTCAGAATCTCCCTCACAAGGTGTACAGTGGAGGCCTCCTGGAAGTAATCAAAGACAGACCTCTCATTGCAGTGGACAGCCACCATCGTCTACCCTACCTGTACCTCGCTGCTCCGATCATTCTCAGAGGATTCGCGACCGAAATCGTCTTCCTCTACTGCCAAACACTGGTGTCCCGAATTGTGCGAAGACCAGCTGACCCCAGTGATACCCTCGCAGTGGTCATGCACGGTCTCTGGGTGGCCTACTTTGGCTCGTTTTTGTCCGAGACGGTCTTGTACCCCCTGGAGACCGTTGTGGCACGCATGACTTGTCAAGGGATGCCCGTTCTCGTCGACAACGTACAAACGGGACTCGACGTTAGTTTCGTAACCACCTTCTACCGTGGTTTCACGGATTGTGTGACTGTGATATGGGAATCGGAGGGTGTCTTTGGATTTTTCCGGGGTTACTCCACCCTCTTACTCCGCTATTTACTCCACGGGGGACTCTTGTTTTTGCTCTGGAGAATAGAAAGAGCAGCAAATGCAAAAATGAGGGAAATACAGAGATGACGACCCTCGTGTCGCTCTAGTTCGTTTTTCTACAGTGCAATGATGTCGTCACCATTAGTTTTGTTCATTAATTTCACCGCAACTTATAAATATAATATTATACACTTGTCATATAAACCAGTGAAGATGTTTTCGATATCCAAATTTTAAAAAAAAAAGAACGTTTTAGATTGTGATTTTGCGCGCTGTAGTTCGCTCATCAGAGTGTTGGGAAACGGTTGGCAGGACTGTGACGGGTAAGTCCCAAGTCATCGTGTCGACTAACAAACTGTTTAGGGTCTCTATAGTGGTTGCCATGGCACCCGACCCGGAGTCTTCCTCTTGTGCTGAGGAGCCACTTGATTTGTGGGCGGAGTTTCGACTCAGGACAAACTGGAAGTGAACCTGCCACTTGAGAGAAACTGAAAATGAAGAAAAAACATTCCTGACTCTTCAAACAGCTTCAAAAACATCGTTAACTGTTTACACGATGGCTAAGACTTACCACAGTTGGTGGAGAAGGACTGTGTGGCAGAGAGGGGGACGGGGAGGGAGAAATGAGTGATGAGAGTATTGGGACAACACTCGGTGTAGCGGGCGTGCGTGGCACACACCGGTCGCCGTGGAGACGGGGACATCTGGAGTTCGAGCGGCACTTCCTCCAGACTCTGCAACTCGGCCGATATCTGAGAGTAATGCACAGCAGGAGATTTTCACGGGAGGTATATAACTTCTTCCTCCAGGGAGATGACATGGTTTCTAGATAGGCTTATTAGCAAGAGCAAAACTGGCCTACCAAGTCATCTCAATTTTGGATTCTTTTATCTTACTGCACATACCACTTGATTCTAAAATTAATGTGTACAAAAATTGAACTACTCACGTTTGCTCTTTTGTTCTACTACAGTACATATACCTGAAGACAAGAGGTGGTGGCCAGACAGAGGTCCAGAGCTCCAGTCACGTCTTCTCCGACTTTGAAAGAAGGTTTGAAGAAAGAGAGTCTCCCTATCACCCCACTGGGGTTCTTGAGCGTGTAGTTCACTGGAGATCGACAGGAGACAACGTTCAACCAACACAGTATTGGGGACTTGGAGGAGGAGGAGGAGGGGGCAGAATGAAACATACTCGAGGTTCGTCGAGAGGTTTCCATGGCGAGGGCCTGGAGAGCGAGGTCGTGGGCGGAGTCTTCGCTGACCTCAGGGGTCAGGAATGGGTTCTCTGACCTCGTCTCTGTGGCTCTGCATTGCCTCGAGATGTGCTCTACGAGAAACACAAGTACAGTATAGCTCTAGCAGTGGTTTCTACAAAGACTCAGGGATAATGCATGGAAATAGGGTCCATATTCCCAAAGGTTTTTATTTCTCAAAGGCAACGAGAGTTGTCCTGGGTATAGTTGTGTTGTTAGCTTTGCCGTTGTCTCTGTTGTTAGTTGACCCACGTCCACATACCGGGGATGGTTCTGACGTGGAACGGGATCCGGGAAATCTGGGCGGGGCAGCCTGGCCTCTGGGCACCCACTGCCAGCTTGTACATGTACTTCACGAGCCGGCCTTTGAAAGATGGAGGTCCACCTTCCGGTACATGCTCCGAGTAGGAAACTTGAGAAAAACAAGAGAGGATTGGAAATATTAGCCCATGATCTCTCTATATTATTGTTCAGAGGTCAGTGTCACAGTCGTTTCAGAGAGATGCTAGCTTGTTCTCACCGGTCTTAGTCTCCCCTGGCTGGAGACTGAGATTGCACACGAGGACGGTGGTAGGCGTCGACAAGATGGTAGATCCTCTCTCCCCTAAAACAAGTTGCACAAAAGAGATAGTTTGAAGAAACAGCGGTTGTGTTTTAGCTACCTCTGTTGGGGACGAAGGAGGTATCGGTGGAGGCGGCGGGTGAGACTGGTACGACTAGGGAATCCGTCCTCACTACGTCTTCCCGACACACCAGCTGACAGTGAATCTGCGCGCCGGCCCAAGCCACGGTGGCCGCGACCGCCGCTTCGTTCGTGAAGGTAACTGAGGCCACGAGTTTCTCGCCCGGCATGAAGGCTCCCTGGCCGCTGACCTCTACCCGCACCTCCACCATTGCTCTCTCTGCTACCTCCCTGCAGCACGAGCACAGAAGCTTTCCTCACGCGCGTTGAATAGGTGGAAGGTGCGGTTTTTTTAGAAAGCCGTGGTTGACTCTAATTGATGCGCACCCCGCTGCTATGGACCAAAACTCGGGACCACAGCGCGGTCAGTGGAGGTGCATTCGGTGGGTTTATGTGTTGATTCTGCTCCATCTTCTTTGCAGGTGGCGCCGGAAAGCGACTCTTAGCTGCAAACTACGTGCTGGAGCTCGTTCCTGACGCACGGGTACGAGAAGGGGGTGGGGCACGTGCGCGCGGCTGCAAAGTTCGCTAGCCTTTTCTCTATCTTGTAGAGCGCGGAGAGAAGACGGCGCCGATCCTACCACCATTCCGAAAGCTTATTCCATCTTCCGTCCCGAGGAGAAGACCACCGCGTTCATAGACAAGGCAGGAACAAGAAATTTTGCATTTTGCTAAATATTCGTCTTCGTCAGATGTCCACACGCTGTCGCAGGTCAGCTGGGGAGGAGGAGGAGGAGGAGGGAGGGTGGAGGAGAGACTCCCAGCAGCTGTTTCCAACAAGAAACGTCTCTCACACACGAAACGTCTCTCCCTCTCCTCAGATCAGGTGACAGTCACATGACCCAATCCACACCCGATGCGAAATGATATAACTCCCTCCGGAACCCAGCAGAGTGTCTTGGGCCTCCCTGAGCCAACGACCTCCGTCCTCTTTGCGGAGTCGCCACTCCACCCCGGGGTACCCATTGTGTACCGTACTCCGGAGGAAAAGTCGCCCAACCCCGACCGACTCAACCTGGATCGTCGGCACCTGTCGGTCTGCCCCATCCTGGAGGGGGAAGAGAAACTCCGCCTACTCAACCTCCAACACAACTCCATTACTAGGTCACCCACCCAAGTAACAAACTGTTGTACAGTCGAACCCCTCTATAAGGACACCCCTTAAATGAGGACACCTCTCTAATTAGGACATTTTCTCACCCCAAGAATAGTTCTCTAAAAGTGTGTTATATATAAAGAGCTGGTGGAATTTGTAGGTTGCAACATTTGAACGGTCTTCGTCAACTGGTGTTCCTGGATCTCTACGACAACTTTGTTCGAGAAATTAGCGGTCTTGAGGGGCTGATGTCTCTGAGAGTGCTGATGCTAGGCAAGAACAGGTCTGAGAATGGGGCATGGTGATCGTACAACTTACCTCCTCGTGTTTATTCTCAGGATCTGTAAGATATCAGGGCTTCGGAGCCCTGGTGAGACTGGATGTGCTAGACCTTCATGGGAATCAGGCAAGTCTGAGACAGTTCCCTCTCTTCCATCCAAACATCAAGGTGTTCCCGGGTGTTTTAAGTTGAGGTACTGTTGGCATGGCTCCAACCATTTCTCTGGGTGCATATTATGGCAGTTCTTCCTCTACGTAGCATTCTTATACAAGTGATCGTTCACAAGTTGATCAATCAGTTTTGATCAACACTGATTGGTGGGGTTTCCCCCTCTCAGGTTAAGGAGATTGAGAACCTGTCCCACCTGGTACATCTGAGGGTACTAAACCTGGCTGGCAACGAGATAACCTGCGTAACCGGTCTGACGGGTCTCGGCTCCCTGGCCGAGCTGAATCTCAGGAGAAACAGAATCACAAATGTCGTGAGTTTTCCGTCAAAAAACACCCACCATTTGTGATTTGCCTTCTCTCTCTGTGGCTCAGTATGGAATTGATCAGCTGCCGAACCTTCAGCGCCTCTTTCTCAGCCATAACCTGATACAGAGGTGAATTGGTCTCATTTCGCAACGTTTTACTGCACTCTTCGACTATAGTCAGGTATTCAGATGGTTGGTTGGCCTGACTTTTTACTTGCTAAAACTACGAAAAGTTTAGGCCACCCAATTTCAACCATAGCTTCTGAAGATTATTTGCGCTGTACCCTACAGCTCTAGTCAAAGTATTTAGGATAGTAGTTGGCTCCATATACTAAGTTTTCACTTTATTTTGAGCTGTGTTTGAGGTGATGTAGCAATTTTTCTCCTTGGCTGCCGATAGTTTTGGCGACATGACGTGTCTGTCTCGAGTGTCGGAGTCTGCTGGAACTGAACCTGGACGGAAATCCTCTGGCCAACCAGCCAGACCATCGCTCATCCGTCGTATTCCACATCCACTGTCTTCACTCCCTCAACCAGACACCCATATTGGTACGTGTATTGTATACGATTTACTGGACGTAGAAACTTCACTGGCAGCATATTTTGCCAATTTTACTTATCGCATCGTAATTGCTATTCCAGGTAAATTAGGGAGTGGTACCTTCGTGCAAGATCACAACATAGCTGCCTTGTGGACTATAGCTAATTTGTTGACGGAAATGATCTAGATGCAGGGGGAAGAGAGGAAGATAGAGAGAGGGGAATATTGTGTGTGTGTGTGTCTGCAGGAGGAGGAGAGAGAGGAGGCTGTGGCTGTTCGTAGAGAGGAGGAACAGAGCTTGAAGCAGCAGAGGAGGAGAACAGTCGTGCAGGTAAGCTTCCCTTAGAGCAGCTGTGGTGGGTTAACCTCCTGCCAGATATGAATACTCTAGTGTCTAGAGTGTGTATCAAAGGGTGGAAGATAATGCTGGTTCCACTGTGAACAGGAGTACAGAGAAGTGGCAGTTGTGGCGATACAGAAGTCTTGGGACGCTCAGCATGCAGACCTCTTCTCCTCCCACTCCACCCATGACCTCACTACTTCTCAACAGACACACAAGTCCTGTTTGTAAGCCGGCTAAAACAAAACTGACTTTTTACTTTTGAATCAAGCAAGTATACGTCACAAGTAGTTTGATTCCTACTGTGCCACTTGCCTTACTACATAAGCACGTTTGTGAAATTATTCCGTCACAAAAAATTTTTAGAATGCTGACATCATTTTCACTTTTTACTGTCGCTAGAGCATCAGCCTCGCTCCCCCACCTCCTCCCCACATTCCTCGTTGACTTGGCTCCGCCCACTCTACATCTCTACGGCTCCGGGGCCCTGGATGCTCTGGACACGCCCCCTAGAGACGAACAACCTTTGACCTCTCTTCACTTCCACTGCGTGGAGTTCAGCGACATTGTTCCATGGTTGAACAAAATTCCTCGAGCCTTTCCTGACCTAAACGTAAGAGAAATAGCTAGTACAAAACCTGTCACATTCTGTTTCACTTTCAGTTACTTTTTGTCCTTTTTACTTTCAATCCTCTTCTCTCTCCCTTTCTCATCCCCTGTCTCTCTTTCCCCCAGTCTCTCTGTCTGGAATGCACAAATCTAACAACTCTGGACCAACTGAATCATCTCTCGTTCCTCCCCTCCCCTCTCCACACTCTCACCATCACACGGCACGGAAATCCCCTCACCCACCACCCTCTCTTCACTCACTACGCCCTCTATCGTCTCAGTCACCTCCAATTATCTGTCTTCAACGATAGACTGGTCACAGAGGACGACATTGCAGCTGCTAATAGAGTCTTTGGGTCTCTGGGAAAACTGGCGTCCACATACTTGCAACCTGAGAGACTGGCTTCTTTAGTGCTACATCACAGGCAGGCACTATCTTCATTTTCCTTGGACATAATTATTCGTCCTTATATTTTGCTCATTGTTGCCTTTTAGACCACGGTATGGTAGAGGAAGCAAGACAGTTACGCAGAACGGCCGAAGAAGGTGAGCATGTTCAAATTGTGGAATATTATATTAGTTGTTTAGTGTGTGTGTGTGTGTGTGTGTGGGGAAGTTCCTAGTCACAGTGTTGATGTTGGCAGGTCAGAAGAGCCTGTGGGTATGGTGGGTCTTCACGGCTTCACTGACAGCACCAGTGACAGAGTGAGCTCCACCTCTCCAGTCAATGGATTATTGGGGCCTTGTCCTCCTCATTCTGTGCCCACAGGCCCACGTGATGAGGCAGGAGCTGGCGTGCTCTCTCACCTCCTCTCTTCACTCAACCACATTGGAGGCCCACAGGAAATTATCGGTCCTCCGAGACAGCTGGTCGGCCATCACCACCCAGCTGGTGAGGACCAGTCTCAGTGAACTCAGTCAGCTGGACACGTCAATGGCAGATATCTTTAATCAACTTTGACCCCTTTTGTCTCTCCCTCTTCTCTGTCTTGTTTCACTCTGCCCTCTCCTGTCGTTCCATTTTCCTTCCTCCCTCATTCGGATACCACAACATCTTCTTTCACTCACCCCTGGCCTCACACCATCATACTACATCGTCATTGTCAGTATATGTATTAATCACAGACATGCTATACAATACACAGTAAAAAGCTCAAGGACTTAACATCTAGTGTGTGAACCTATAGCTGAATGGGCCACACGTTACGATTTGCCACTGAACTCTATGTGCTTCAACACTCCACAGGTTGCATGATATTTTGCACAGAATCAAACTCAAAATTGATATAATGGTGATTTACCGTACATTGTGTATATAATTACAGTAGGTAACAACATGCTCCACACAGCTATGGTAAAACCTATCAGAGCCACACCAGACGTATATATTACTAGCAAAGAGTCTCTAAGTGCATAATCCTCCCCTCCACCTCCTTCCAATACTGGCCTCAGTCCTGTTTCTTCTCCTTGTCTCCCGTCATACTTTCAGCTTGTTGCATGATGTCGCGTGCTTTTGCGGCAGCCTCGAGAGGATCAATATCTCCCACCATCTCTCTTGCCCTGGAGGTTGCTGGGCAACAGAGGGGCAAAGAATTTGATTAGGGGAGCTAATGAGGCCCCCAGGGGAGCTGCCAAATACCAATTAAACACGGAAATCCGAAAATTGGTAATAAATCCAGTAGCAGGTATGTACAATGCTGGACTTATGAAAAATCAAGCTCCACTAGTATAATATCTGTGGTTGAAAACAGAATATATACAATGATACCTTTAGATGCAACTTCTCCAGCCAACTGCTGCGTGGTCTTGAAGGCAGAGTCAATGGTCTTCTCGTGTTTCTTCACGAAAGGCTTGATGAGTCGACGATATACCACCACGGAGCCGTTGTTTTCCATCGGCAACATACACCACACCAGGAATCCACACTGGGAGAAAGGGAGAGGCTACCTTATACACACACACACACACACACACACACACACACAATGCAGATGAAAAGGTGTGCTTGCTTCAAGTGCACTGTAACACCAGTAACAATCCACAAACCACAGATTAGACACACTAGACACAACAACTGGACTATAATTATATGTCATACTGAAAATAAACAGAGGAAGTAAAGTGAGAAATCACAGAGGTCACCATAAACCAGGTACAGTATCCACAGTATCCAATGGCACCACAAGTAAAGCAGGAATCAGTGGGTAAGAGGCAGGGGTGATGTCATAATGAAATCCACTATATACAGCACGTAGTATGAGTAACAGGATTAGGTCGCTTACTTTAGCCAGGAAGTAAAATGGAACCCAGCCAAGGAAGATGTCGGTGAAGTACTCTAAGATCCCGAATGCAGCATACACCACCCAGTAGGTGAGCCACTGCGTATCGTCGTCTTTGTCTTCCGAATCAATTGCTTGGCAACTGAGAGGGAGAACATACACGGGCGTAAATTCTACAGCGGAACGATACAATTTAACCTCCGAATACGAAGGCAACTCATGCATGAGCAGCAACAGAGGAAAAGTTGTTGAGTGTTGACTCACGATTTGAAGGCAGGGTATACGAATCCCAGGAGATTTACCACAAGCCCTGCTCCATACCCAATGACTAGGTAGAGTGCTAGGAACGCCACCAGACCTGCAGTGACACACGGGGAGGATCGAGGGAGATAAGGAAACGTCACCACTGCCCACGTACAAGGGCTGGGGGCTGGGGACCCACCCAGCGCTAGCTAACGCTCATACGGAGCCACGTCCGCGCGCAAGCATCGCTCGGCAGGATGTTTATCAGGCGCAGGGGGAGGGAAAGAGGGAAGGAGAGCGCTGGTACGCACCCAGGAAGAGATATTCTCTCTTTATCTTGGCGTTCTTCTCCACCAGCTCGAAGATGGGCGTCGCGGCGCTGGGCGTGTGCAAGAAGTCGTGGAGCGCCTTATGAATCGACTCCAGCTTGTTTGCCGGCCCTGAACTGCTGCTTTTAGAACTGGAGGTCGCCATTTCCCGTCTCAATCGATCGAGTGAGTCGTGTCGCCCTCCCCAAAATCGTTACCCCACCTCGTGTGTGCGGAGCAAATTTACTGCATTTTCCGTAACTTATCGGTCCCATAGCGCATGCGCCGACGGTCCACAACATAACGCAATCAGCTATACATAATTATACGGGACTAAAATACACACAATTAGTGTCCTCAAAACATGACGATTTTATGCAGTGTTCTCTTTTCAAGAGTGGGCCCCTGGTGTGTGGCTCAATCATCGGCGTAGTCGAACTCGCGGCAACTCCCCAACACCAACGGAGCAATGAGGGTCCACACGTACACGCCGAAGCAGGTCCACACGGTAGCCATCTTCACCCAGACAGAGGCCCACGAGTTCTGGAAATGCTCCGTGTCCGCCTCTCCGGGACTAAAGAGGACAAAAATGTTGCAAAAATCTTTACAAATTTGAGCAGTTGTTTGTCATGCATGAAACTTTTAGTTTAAGGCCCACCAAACTCTTCCAATATATACTCACTCGGCCCAGTTGGTAAGCTGCATCATGAGGTACAGTACTGATATGAGCATGAGGAAGTGGAAGAATGAATAGCTGTAGGTGACCCTCTCCTCCTCATCATTAACACTCGTCATCCTCCATTTTCCCTTCTCCTCCTCATCTTCTCCCCCTCCTCCTCCTCCTCCGCCCTCCACGTCTCCCTTGTCATCTGGAAGACAATCACAGCACAGCAAAGACCCCTTTCATCATCATCATCATCATCGCGTGCCATCAGAGAAAGTAAGAGTTGTTTTATTACACAACCATTGAAGGGGGTGTGTAAGGAGCGTGTGCATGGAGTGGGGAAGAAGAGCGAAAAGAAAGAATGTTAGTAAACTTACGAATATACACATTTTCATTTCCTAGCAGAGAGCTCTGGTTACGGTGACAAACACGTGAAATAGAAGATAGACAGATGAGAAAAGAGATTTGGAGTGGAGAGAGAGAGAGAGAGAGAATAGCACACATTCACACAGACACAATAAGAAACACTGACGGAGAACTAACCTCGTTTTCGTCTTTACTTCCCCCTCTGAACTTCCTCAGCTGTTCCGAGCTCGATAGCGTAAAACTAGGAAAAAGAGGGAGGGAGAAAAGAAATGGAGACAAGTGTAACCTACAAACAGGTAGGGGTCTTACCAAACGTAGGCGACTGTGACAAGGAGGACAAGAATACCCACAATGGAAGCTGCCAGTGCATTTCCACTGCCGGAGAACACTGCAAATGTGCTGTCACCGATGTTACAGTCCCGGTCTGCGGGGACAGATACAATCCGACATGATGCGAGTTTGGAGGCAGGAAGTGAGAGAAGGTAAAATTAGCGAGCGAAGAGACAAAGAAGGGGGGAGGGGAGATGCTGACCTGGACCGTAAGGTTCAGTAGAAATGGCCGACCAAGTTTGGTAGGTGCAGTAGCCAGACACAACTGCAGCTTGGAGCAGACCTGACTTGGGCTGGACTGCTCTCACAGAGAACAACAGAGAGAGGGAGAGAGAGGAAGAGAGAGAGAGAGCGGGAGAAAGAGAGAGCATATCGAGAAAAGACTTAGGGGAACAGTGCTAATGTGATAAGACATGCCCACCTCGCTGGATCCAAGGCAGGATTGCGATGACAGACACAACCACGCTCAGAAACAGCGTACTCGTGATGAAGAACTTGTTCAGGGAACAGCTATCCAACTGTAGCCGAGTGGGCCAGATAATGTCACACAGACAGCACAACAGACAGAATGTGTGGCTATCTAATCTCATATGGGCATACACTAATGTTGGATACATACTAGCTGTGTGTGAAGTATTATACTGCATACCTCAGTGAAGTAGGCGTACATTAGGGCAATGCCAATCAGAGCCAAGAGATCTATTATCACAGTCACCATCAGCATAGCTACAGGGAAATTACATCACAGTTTGCTCACATGTAGACAGAGCTTTGGCAATATACATTATGTGTGGTGTAATGAGCTGGGTATATACAGGACTGCAAAGGGTAGGAGGGGGGATATTGAGGACTTACGAAAGTACCAGCACTTGTTCTCAGATTCTTCGGCTTTGTCCAACCTACAGACAACACACACCATACAGGTCAAGAAGACTGATGATGATGATGATGCATAACTGTATACATGTACAGTGTGTCTTTTGAAAGGAAGCATGCCAAGTGATATTCATGTGATTCATGCATGACTTTATATGTCATGTCATGTCACATGACAGAGACTGTAACTATATAGGGACTCACAAGAACTCTGCCATTCGGTGAGCCAGATCCACAAGGAGAATGACTTGGATGACGATGAAGAAGAAGGAACCAATCAGTCCAAAGGCCATTGCAGCTGTTAAAAAACCCAAACATTCAAACAGAGTTCATCAGATACATGGACGAAAAACTAACTTCGTGAGAAAGCAAGGTTGTTGCCGTCCGGGATAAAGAAATAGGCGACGACAACGCCAAGCACAATTACCCACTTGATGCACCAAAACCTGGACAAACATAACAATACCAGCAACATAAGGGTACGTGTAAAGAGACACATGTGCCGAGTGTGTGGAGAGAAAGGGGTTCTATGTAGAGTAGCCATACTTATTGTAATGCACGTGTGTCTAAAGACGCGAGTGTGTGGAGAGAAAGGGGCTCGTGTACCCGTTCTGAATGTAAGAGCGAGGGTCTTTGCTACTGAAGACACAGAACATCATGAGCATCATGACCAGGAAGAACGACGCCACTCCCATGCACACACGGTACACCGCAAGGTAGCCGATGAACTGGTTGCAGTTCAGGAGCCGGTCCACTGACACGGTGGCCGTCGGAAACGTCACGACATTCGACGGGACGCTCACAGACCGGTTGTAGTTGACGCACAGCACTTTCTGTAGATGAAAAAGACGTTTCTTTCTTTTCTTTTCAATGCTAGAGACTCACGGCATCCTTCTCTAAGGCCGTCTGAACGTCTGGAGCTAAAAGGATAGCGGATACCAAGACGATAACGACGAGAAAGGAGAGGTAGAGGAGGCGAGTAAGGATGGAGCTCTTCGCCTTCCCTCCACAGCCGCCGCAGCACAGGCCACAGGCCGCGGGACCCACACAGCAACACAGTAGGTCTAGAAAACACATGGATCTCCCTCCTCTGCTCTTTACGACCACGAGAAACGAGAGCTAGCTAGCTACTATTATTACTAGAAAAACACAATGACGTTAGTGTACGTTCACGTGATCGCACGTGATCAGTAATTAGCAAAAAGTCAGTCACGCCCCTTTTAATTATTATGCTTGCAATAAACAAAAGTAGATAAAGGGACCAACCTTTCTTGAACTTCATTTAGGGAAGATGTGCAGTAAATCAAAAAAGTAAATAGTCAAGAAGATAGAGGGATATGTCGAGCAATGGCCTTGTCATCGTGTGTGTCGTGTTACTGTCGCTCTTGCTGGCTCCATCGACTAGCGTTAGCGACGACCGACTACCGTCACAGTCTAAGGGAGAATTCTACACTAACAGTTGGGCCGTGGAGGTGGCTGGAGGGCGGGCAGTGGCCGACGACGTGGCAACACGTCACGGCTTTGTCAACGTAGGACAAGTAAGGGGAAATGTGACTTCGAGACCACCCGCACGCTAACTCTTCTCTCTATCCAACAGGCCGGGAGCTTGAAAGACATTTATCACTTCATCCACGCTTTCTCTCCGTCCCGTCCGAAGCGCTCGCTGGACGCACCGCATCAATCTCTACTGACCGACTCCCGAGTAAGACCTCTAGCTGGCTACACAATAGAGCTAGGGGTAGCTGGGCTGACTCTGTATATATGCCTGCAATGGTGCTGTTTGTTTTCATGGCCCTCTGTGTAAACGTGGCTACAGGTAGTGTTTGCTGAGCAGCAAGTGGCCAAGATAAGAGAGAAGAGAGAAGACTATCACAGTCCAGAGAATGCCATGTGGTCCAAACAGTGGTACCTGGTGAGCAGTAATTACGTCATTTCCCCCAATTTTTTTAATCCACTCTCTTCCTGTTTAAGTGCCCCTTGGGGGAAGTGGTAGAGGGGTATTTCATACCATTCCCAACAGTGTGGTGGTGTGTGCTAATAGTTGCAGAATAAAGAAATAAGCAACAATACCATATTTACCTGATAAAGATCACTCTTTCTGAGAGTTGTATATAGAAACTGGTAATGGTCTGTACTGTTGGCAGAGAAATCGTCATCAGATCTAATACCTGCTCATTTCCGAACAAGATATCCTTGTCTGCACGTGTGAGCGTTCTAATGTGTCCTCTGATTAGTCTGTAGTCACAAGATTTTTCAGCAACACTAGCCACTGACAATTTCTTTCAGCATTAGCCCTTTACCTCTCTCTTTCTTTATTCTCCACTCAGACAGAAACTGTACAAAAGGCCCCAAAACTATCTCACGAATGACACAATTTAGGAATGGTTTTTGTGTCTTTGAAAAGCGATATCAAAGTGTATGGTTTGCCCCCTAATAATGAATAGTGTGTAACAACAATCAGTTGTACTATGACTTTTGGATCATCTGGCATCTGGTGCCAGCTGCTTTGGCCTCTCTCTAGCCACCACTGAGAGATACTGTGGACCACTCCTTTCAAAGATCCCTACATAATGGGGATTGATACCATGTTCACATCCCTCCTCTCCCTCCCTCCCTGTTCCACCTCTGTTAATCTACCCGCTTCCTCCCTCTCTCTATCTTTAACTCCCTCCCCTCTATCGCTCCGTTCCTCATTGCAGCATCGAGACAATCACCACGACATGAATGTGGAGAGGGCCTGGGAAGAAGGCGCCACCGGAAAAGGAGTTGTCATCTCCATTCTTGACGATGGCATAGAGCACACTCACCCTGACCTCAAAGACAACTATGTGAGCCTATATATCACTTATATGTACACCTCCAATAGTGTTTATTTCGAGAGAAAAGTGTCCTGGGTGTTTGTGGAATGTGTTTACGATGGCCCTGCCCGGCACTGTTGCTAATGCGGAGAAGACACAATAAGGTTTCTTGGTATGCATGCTTTGGTTGTGCTGCTCTTAATTTTTCCTCCAACAGACCTGTTTGCTCAATTAGTGATCCTGTAACATGTAGAATTTGGTTTCCCCCCACACAGGACAAGATGGCTAGCTATGATTTCAACGCCCACGATGACGATCCTTTCCCTCGCTATGACATCACCAACGAGAACAAACACGGGACGCGATGTGCGGGGGAAGTAGCGGCGAGGAGGGACGGTGGGTGTGGCTCTGGAGCTGCCTTCCTCTCTAGTATTGGAGGTAGGCACATTTTCTCTCTCTCCCACTTTCGTGTTTTTTTAACAGTTCTAAAAACTGTTTCCCGTACATAACTTTCTGTAGTTACAACAATGTGTGTGTTGTTTTTTTGCTACCAGCTTTACCATGGTGACGCTAGGAGACGCCTGTATTATTGCTGTGAAAGTAAATTATCTTGTTGTCTGTGTGTAGGAGTTAGGATGTTGGATGGCTCAGTAACGGACGTGGTTGAGTCCAGCTCACTGCACCTGAATCCTGAACACATCGACATCTACAGCAGCAGTTGGGGTCCTAGTGATAACGGACAGACCGTGGATGGGCCTGGAACACTGGCCAAGAAGGCTTTCAGTGACGGCGTTTCAATGGTTAGCGAGGAAGAGAGAGGAAGAGAGAGGGAGAGGAAGGAGAGGAAAGGGGTGGGGAGTCTTGCAGTAGATTGTGCATCGTATGTGACCACTTCAAAGTAATGAAGTAAACAATGCTGGCCAACAACTGTAGTGTTAGCCTCAATCACAATTGCTGGGCATGTCTCTCATATCTTTTGTCAGGGTCGCGGAGGTCTTGGCTCTATATTTGTGTGGGCCGCTGGGAATGGAGGGAGAGACAGTGACAGCTGTAACTGCGATGGCTACGCTGTCAGTCCGTTCACCATCTCCGTAGGGTCGGTGACCCAAAACGACAAGTTCCCGTGGTACGCAGAGGTCTGCTCGTCGACGCTCTCTGCGACTTACAGCAGCGGCTCGGGAGCTGAGAAACAAGTTGTAAGTCTCTGAACCATACACCTTAACATAGGTTGACCCTTGACCCCCTCCAAAATCTTTACCTGTACCGTGCTAGGTCACTTTACTTATGCCTGATCAGTAAGTTTCTCAAGAGGCTCCCTCTGCCCACTAAGCTCTGTTTGTGTAGCCCCTGACTAAGTTGAAAGCTAAACTTTTCAAGCTAAATGCACTTGATGGCCTTCACTTGAATCTGTATGTTCAGCTTACAGCTTCCTGTCAACAACCCTAAACCCTCTCTCTCCCTCTCTCTCCTCTCCTCTCCTCTCCTCTCCTCCCTCTGTGTCATTTTCATCTTCCCGAGTGCAGGTGAGTACAGACCTCCATCACAGGTGTACAGAGAGGCACACGGGGACCAGTGCCTCGGCTCCACTGGCTGCTGGGATCATGGCTCTAGCTCTGGAGACCAAGTCAGTTGGACTATATAGGCAGTGGTAGTACAAGGACACTCTGAATAAAGCACACCTCTCTATGGAGGACACTTGGTTCTGCCACATATTTTACTGTATATTGTACCTTCGAACAAAGAAGGCCTCTGAATAAAGGGAGTCCCAAGTTGTCCCTTATTCAGCGTGCTCTGAAACATAAACACACACCCCCAGTCAGTTGACTGATGACTGAAGCTAGTTTCTCCACTGCTAATTAACAGAGACTGTGTTTTCTTCCGAGGCTACCCAAACACCAGTAAACCAAAGGATAATGTCTCTGTACTTAAGAGGAAACTCATCGGGGAAGATGGGGTTTGGTCAGAATTTTTTCTTTTTTCACTTTTCTTTCGCTCTGACAGTCGGAACCTCACCTGGAGAGACATGCAGTATCTGATCATCTATGCCTCAAACCCCGCCCTCCCAAAGGACGGGGAATTCCACACCAACGCAGCTGGTCTCAGAGTCAGTCACAAGTACGGGTTTGGTGTCCTCGACGCCGCCGCCATTGTGAACCGGGCACGCTGGTGGATCACTGCGCCACCTCGTGAAAACTGCACCTTCGCTGTGGACGTCAGTAGCACTGGGTGAGCTTCGTAGCTACAGCCTCGTTAACATGGGATATATGTACATCTATGTATGCACCTACATCATCGCATGGAAATCACCCAATTTTTCATTCAATAATGTGTGTATTGTATGCACTGCATTAATGGCAAATAGGTTCTGAGACTGTGTGTATTTTGTAACTTGTTTCATCTCTCTCATTTCTCCACAGCAAAGCAACTCAGTCGAGTTCGCTAAACGTCAAAATAGACACTTCCTCGTGCCCCATTACCTATTCGGAGCACGTCCAAGCCATCACTACGCTCCACCTCGATCGAGGGAATCGTAAAAACCTGGAGATATTCCTGCAGTCTCCGATGGGGACCAAGTCGATTCTCCTCCCTCATCGCCGACGCGACCTTCACAAAGAAGGGTTCCGTGACTGGCCGTTCATGACAGTCCACAGCTGGGGGGAAAACCCCCACGGGGAATGGATTTTCATCGTCAACATCGACTCCTCCAACACCGAGGCCACTCTCGAGCAGCTGACACTTATTCTCTACGGGACGAGGGAAACCCCCCGATCAGTGAGGAATGTTCCGTCGGAATGCCACTCCGAGTGCCAAGGCGGATGTGCCGGTGAAGGAGCAAAGTTCTGCGACACTTGCAAGAACTTTCGGCTGGAAACGACCCTCGAGTGTGTGGCGCAGTGCCCGACCGGGACTTACGTGGACCATCACATGTGTCGCTCGTGTCCACACCGCTGTAGTGAGTGCAAGGAGGGGTCGACCTGCCTGAAGTGTGCGGAGGGTGCCGTGAAACTCGCCAACGGTGACTGCTCGTCGTCGTGTGACCAGTTCTCGTTCCTCGCAGAGGGCGGGTCTTGCCAGGCCTGCCACCATTCCTGCGCAGAGTGCGTGGGTCCAGCGGACACTGACTGCAGCGTCTGTCAGCCCCAGTTCATTAAGGAGAGTGACGGGCGCTGCATCGTGCCTCCGTCTTGTCAGGAGGGCGAGTATTTCGACAGTCGTTCGCTCGAGTGCCGTCCGTGTCACGAATCTTGCGCCGAGTGTGTGGGGAAAGGGGCTAAGGAATGTACGGAATGTTACTCTGGATTTTCTCTCGAAGATGGAGTGTGTGTGGTTGTCAGGTCCAGCAGCAAGCAGTGCAATGGAGGAGAATATTACCACGAAGAGAGCGAACTGTGCAAAGCCTGCTCCTCCAACTGTGACAAGTGTACGGATGAGATCACATGTCTGTCATGTGACTTGGACGTCTTCCTCTGGACTGAACGAATGGGGGAGAGCCAGCTAGAGGTCACGACCTGTATCACAGACTGCCCAAAGGGTTTCCACGGTGATGTAACGTCGTTATCATGCCAATCTTGCCCCTCGTATTGCACCGAGTGCGACAGCTACGACAAGTGTACCGCCTGTACCCTGGATTTCGCAATCCCCCTCAACGGACAGTGTCCCCAACCATGTCACGACGGAGAATACTTTGACTTTTCCACTTCGCACTGCCTCGCCTGTCTCGGCAACTGTCTCACCTGCAGAGACCCGCACACCTGCCTTGCGTGCGACCCAAACTTTTATTTAGTCTCTGACACCAGCTGTGTGAGTGTGTGTCCAGAGCATTTGGTGGAAGACGATGAGAATGGCGTGTGTCTGTCGGAAAACTGCCACGAATCTTGTCTGACGTGTTTCGGAGATGAACCAGACGAGTGCCTCACCTGTCCTGGAGGAGGGAAGCTGATGGAGCATTCGTGTCTCGAGGAGTGTCCCTCTCATACGTACTTAGACGAGGCAGCAAGGTCGTGCAAACATTGCCACGAGTTGTGCAAGTCTTGTGCCGGTCCAAGTCAGGACAACTGTCTGCTGTGTCCCGACGGTCGCGTCCTGAACCACTTCTCCTGTCTGTCGTCCTGTCCTGAAAACACGTTTGTCCTGAACGACACAGAGTGTGTGGCGTGTCCTGCTAACTGTGCCGAGTGTAGCAGCGCAGAAAAATGTTCTTCGTGTAGTGAGGAATATCTTCTGCAGGAAGAGACATGTGTTGAGAACTGTAGCCAAGGATTCGCGAAAGACCATCGAGACTGCAAGCCCTGTCCACAGGCTGTAAATCCTGCTCCAATCTCGAATCGTGCGACTCCTGCCGAGAAGGTCTCTTCTACTACGAACCTGATCGCTCGTGTCTCCCGACATGTCCAGCCGGTTACTTTGGGGAGGAAGGATCCTGCAAGGTGTGCTCCTCCGAATGCTCCGAATGTTTTGGTCCTAGTTCCTCCCAGTGCAGAGTTTGTCGTAGAGGCACCGCCATGGAACAGACAAACCACACCTGTATACCTTGCTGTGAATCTGACTCCCACCAATTAAAAGCCTGCTGTGACTGTGACACCGACTCGGAGACTTGTGTTCTTGTGGCTGGCACTGATATTTCATCTTCTCCCTCTTCTCCCTCACATCATGCCACTGGATTAGCGATCACTCTCATAATGGCTACTTTCATTGGTGCAGTGATGGTGGGGATAGGTCTTTTCTACCTCTCCACACGGATTCGACAGAGAACAGCCACCATTTCTTACGCACCACTCAATACTAAGAAAGGAGACCTAGCCGCTACTCTGGCACTGGTGGAGGACAGTGAGAGTGGCAGCGAAGCCGAACTCTTTGCAAGAGTTGGAAACACATGATCTCTAATTATAGCCCTCTCTATATCTACCTATTATTTTTATCATGTATAATAGACGTTGAAATCATTATACACCGGCGGCCAGGATTTCTATTTGCGCATGCGTTCCGTTCGAAAGGTCTTAGGGGTCGAAATTCACGGGCCCATTCGAGGAAGGAGGAAAGTGCGAGTTCAGCCCTAGAGAACTAGTCCCGAGCTTAGTCTTCCGCAGTATCCCGAACTTCTCCATGCTATCGTGCGGCTGCTACTGTTGTCGAAAGCCGCGCTACAAGCGGCTGGTGGACGCCCTCTACCCTGAGGACCCCCAAGACACGACTCCCGCGGCCGCCCACTTCGATAAACTTCTCTACTTCGCCAGCTCGTCCCCCGAGCACCTGGACCGAGTCGGAGACTATCTGGCGTTCCGTCTACGTCGGAGCCTCACACGAGACCGTAGAGGGTACGTTAGAACCTTCTAGAATGTCTCTAATCCGGACACCAGAGAACGTAGTGAGATGTCCGCATGTCAGGGGCTGCAAGAACTTCTTGGGGGAAGGAAAAGGTGTCCTCATTTCAGAGGTTTTCCTTAGAGAAAGGTTCCACTTTACACTTAAACTCCTCAGAATTACTTCTCTCTCCCCCTCCCTCCTTCCCTCTCCACTGGGTCCCCTGTAGCCATGTCTTTGTGTCCCTGAAGATCATGGAGAAGCTGCTGACTGAATGCGACGCCCAGCGTCTGCAGCTCATCATTGACAGCTACCTCCAGATGCTTCACTCCATGCTGGAATCAACCGACTCCGATTTCCAAATCAAGGCCACCGACTCCGTGAGAAAAAATCAAAAAACTTTTATTTGAAAGGTCCCCAATTTTTCTGTTTCTGTTCAGTTTGTGATGTTTTCTGAGAGAGAAGAGCAGACAACATCGTACCATCGGGAGTACGATTTCTTTATCCATCGCTTCACCGCCATGTCTCTTGTTAGGAGCTCTGCAACTGGTCATTCCTATCACCAGTGAGTCGTGGAGGCAGCAATGCAGGGGAGGGGACCGTAAATTGAAGTAGAAAGTTAACAAAAGAGCGAGGAGAAAATATAGTGAGAAGGAGAGACAGGGGAGGGGAGGGGGTGGGAGGGGAGTAGAGATGGCAAACGTCCAAACCACACTGGACTAAACTTGTGACTTCATTATTAACCCCTCTCTCCCTCGTTCTCTCTCCTCCATCTCTCTTCTCTCGTGTTTTCTCTGAAAGGATTCGAAAGGCAGGACTGAGAGGACTGCGAGGAGTGATAAAAAAGACGGAGGGAGATGAAAGTCTACAACTGAATATCTGGACCCCTGACGACCTGAACAAGATTATTCCCCCGTTCCTCTTCAACCTACAGCCGGGCGTCGCCGGAGACTGGAGGGTGGGGCAGGAGGCGGGGCCAGGAGACGAGAGTCTGGGTGGACTAGCTGAGGAGGGGCTGAAGGCAATTGTTGTGTCTGCCGGTCTGGCTCATATCGATGCTGTCTTCATCCCTGTCCTCCAGTGAGCTCTAGTTTTACCTAGGCTACCACCGATATTTCATGACATCGTTGTGATGTCATTGTTTTCACTGTGTGTGTGCAGGCATTTCGATTTGAACACCATATGGACCGAAAAGAAGGAATTTGGAATCGATATTTTTATCACCATCATCAGAACTATGCAGGTATGTACAACTCAAATCATGTGACTCTCACATTAACTGTTCAACAAATCAAACGAGAGTCACGTGACTGTCACATGACCTCCACCTGCAGAAGCAGTACAGGTACAAGGCTATTCAGGCGTTGGTGGGTCATCTGGACAGGAAATCGGCAGAGTCCTGTCTCCTCAAACAGGGGATTCTGGACACTCTGTCACAGTGTGTGTCCGTTGCTGCAGACGGCTCTCTCGGTAAGTCAGTATACATGTCTCTTTCCAATACTGTCTCTATTGATATCGTGCACGACTGTTGAAAGGAAATGTACAGTGTTTGAACTGTTGCCAAAATATAAAGCTTCAGTCACACACCCACTGTCTGTTTCTGTAATGTGCACACAACAGTTACTCCCTCTCCATGACCATGCGTTTGAAAACGAAAACGCTACCTCTGTCCCTCTCTGTACATTTGTATATACTCTAGTTAAACACTACCCCCCCTCTCTCTCTTTCTCCTCTCATGTCAGGTCCGTCGGTATTGGATGTGTTTCGAACTCTCGTCCGTCACCTCAGGATCTCCATTGAGAACCCCTCCTCCCCTGCCGAGGCCTCCACAAACACTGCCTTTCAGGTGCCGCAAAATACTGTGAACACTTTTGGTGTAATTTTAGAGGACAATCATTGGCAATTCAGAAGGTCCCGTGAAGGGTATATATGACATGAGAGTACTTGTAGTGAAAGCTGTACCTTGGGAACATACTTTATTGAGAGGTGTCCTTTGTATAATTATAGTAATGAGGCAAAACTAATACAAATGTGTCCTTGGGTCCTTTATCAGAGATTTCACTGTATAAGAATTCTTCTCTCTCTCTCGGTGTGACAGGACTCGCTGACCTGTACGATGGGAGAGTTTGCGAGTGTCCTCCCCGACTACCACAAACCTGACATCATGACACTCATTACCTCATACATGGACCCAGCAGGGGGCGTGGCAGGGGGCGGGGCCACCGGGAGAGAGGAGAGGGGTGGAGGGCGAGGAATGAAACGACAGATATCAAGCTCAGGAAAGTATGTGTGGAATGTCACAGTATTCGGAAATCCTCAGGAGAATAGTGATCCACTTCACAAGATTCTTACTCCTTGTTTTACCCTCGGCGCGCATACCTAAGGTCGAAAAATTGCCAACCTTTCATCTCTCTAGGTGATAATCCATGGTGCATAACATGCTGTTTGTTCTTTTTGATGCATGGTCAAGACCAATTGTGGTGGTGCCACACTTTAGTACTTTTCATTTACTAATTATTCAAGTATCAAAATCCTCTTGTTCCCTCTTGTTAAACTTTTAATAGTCACTTCGATGATGTTAGATTCCGTTCTAACGATGTTTTTTTATTTGAGGGTGATGTGTTCTTTGTCCTAATCATTGTAGTGCTGTGTTGCGAGCGTCGCTGGTGAAGTGCATGAGATCCATCGCGGAGACGTACCGACATGAGATGCTGGAAACAGCACTTCCCGAGGCACTGTTTACTTCTCTTGTGGAGCTGATGACTGTCACACAACCTGGTGAGTTGGGGGGGAGGAGGGGTTGAGGCATAGGGAGAGAGGAAGGAAATGAAAAGGGAAATAGAAGGTGGGAGAAAGGGAAAGGGGTTCTTTCTTTAATTTTCATAGTTTGTATCACAAAAGTCGTGAAGGAATGGAAAGAACAAATCATGTAGTTTCAATGTACGCTATAGGGGAACGGACTTAAGGAAAGACTAGACATTAGCAAACCAGTGATTTATTACTGTGACATTATGACAGAAAGATCTCGGAGACGAGAGGTTGTGTGTATAAATCTAACATCTAGAAACACAGTTGGACGTGTGCCTCTTGTGGCAGCAGCTGGTTGACCATCACACCAACCTGCAGAAAATACCTCTCCACACGTAAGACTCCCTCCTCCTCCTCTCACCTCGGATCATGTGATAGTCATGTGACCAATAGGAAGTGGGAGAGTCTGGGCTCATGTGAGCTGAGTCTCGGCCGGGTGTCCCAACACTTTGTGAACCAGACCCGATCCTCTCTCTACCCAAACCTCCTGTTCCTTGCACTCCATATCTCTCCCGACAGAGAGAATATTCTGGCCTACTACCGGCTCCTCGCTCTACTGGCACTGGAGTTTGCTCAGGTTTCTATTACATACTAGAGTTTGATTGGATTTTGTTCTGTTTTGCTGCCATTTTGTGACGAGAAAGCCTTCTTGTCACAAAAGGGCAGTGAAACCGAACCCCCTCCTCCCCTGTCTCCCCAGCCCGGGGTGTCGGACATGGTCCACCTTCTGAGTAAACTCCAAGACTCAGCGGTAGACTCCACCTCCCAACTATCCACCACTCATCGCGTCTCTCTCCACGCCATCACTGCCGGCATCCTCCACCTCCTCTGTCACATCTCCACCGTGCCTGCTCTGACGGAACACGTCCTGGAGGTCGTCCAGAGACGGAGTGAGACTGCTCCACTCCTGCTGCCGGATCAGCTCTTCACAGCAGAGAGGGAAGAGGGGGCAGATGGGGCCGAGGGGAGAGGGGATATTCCGACACGCGTGGGAGAAGACCTGCTGTTCCATTTGAGAGAGAGGGGGCTGGTTAGGCAGAGTCCAGAGCCAACCATGGACCCCACTTCAAAGAGATGTATGTATAAACTTTCGGGCAAAAAATTTCTTCCACAAATAATACAGAGATGCAGGCAGGCAATATTTGTATGGCATGTTATCTGCAGGCATTTTGTTTTCACTGAAAGTTCCCTATATACATTATACAGTGTGTAAAAGCACTTTACGCTGTGTTCATAATGTATGTAGCCCAACTGATGCGAGAGAGCTCGACGACGTCCAATGATTTCCTACCGCACGCCTCCCTCTCTCTGGACTATGGATCTGATTCACCAGTGAGCCATTGTGTCTCTCTCTCTCTGTGTGAACCCATTGTCCAACTCTCCGCCATTCTCTCTCTATAGCTGGGGGTCGAGCAAATCAACTTCAGCAGTTTCAAGAAAGGTTTGTGGACCATTTTTGTCCATCTAGCCTCCAGCGTGGTGTTGTTTCCTGGTTTCACACCCGTTTTTCCTGTTTCAGAGTCGGCGTTTGGCGAGTCTCCGACGACAGAGATGAGAGAGAGACTTGGGTCTTCTCTGACTTACGAACAGCAAGTCGGACTCTCGTCTAGACACGTATGTTTGGGTGTGTGTGGGGGGAGTAATTACATAATATAGCAGTAAACTATCAGACGTTTGCCTATATCCTAATACTAGACAATTCATTTTTAGCTAGGTGTGTGTGTTTAGTGCAGCCGCACTTATTTTTGGGTGACTTGTAATGGCAAAAACAATATATTTTCTGCTACAGGACACAGGTCTGGCAGGAATCGCTCATTTAGTTCAATCTGGAAGGTAAACCAGCGTGTAATGTAGCCTTAGCTTCTCTCTAATGATCTACATGCACATCCTCCTCTCTCTCTCTCTTATTCTCATCTCTCTCAACTCCCTCCAGCAGTCCTGTGGTTGAGAACCAGACGAACTTGAGGACTGCCTCAGCATACGATATGGAAATGCCCACTCTCAACTGACCATATCATTATACATTGCCCCACACAATTCTCTCTCAGTCTCTCTACGAGAAAACTATTTTTTACCGCGTGGTTTATGTCAAGAAAACAAGTACGCATGCGTGTGAAATTCGTGGTTCGCTAGCCATCAGGCCACACCCAATACGTTAGTTCAGGGGCGGAGGTCGGATGGCGCTGCAGCCAGTGCTAGTAATCGTCCTCTGCGGCAAACGAAAGTCGGGGAAGGATCACGTGGCAGAGAGACTCAAGCTGATGTAAGTTGTCTAGCTACACAGCTCGCGCAGATGCCGAATGACGTGGCTTGGTACAGGCTAAAAGACGTTCTGGCGGTTCTGCAGCTTTCAAAACCTCTAAAGGAACAGTACGCAAAAGTACGTGATGGCGGCTGGTTGTCACGTGATCATCACGTGCCTTGGCTGCGCACAGGAGCACGGTCTGGATGCGGAACGGCTCCTGGACTCCTCCAGCTACAAGGAGACGTACAGGAGGGACATGATTCGATGGGGGGAGGAGAGGCGAGACCGTGACCCCGCCCACTTTTGTCGGCTAGCAACAGCAGAAGCGGACAAGCCAGTTTGGCTGGTTTGCGATGCTCGTCGGCCGACAGACATGGACTACTTCACTTCGCACTACCCGACACTTACAGTGAGTCTCGAGTTGTTCCCTTCTCTTATTATTACCTCACTTTTTATTTTTATATAGGACACTTGCTTTAGAACTCCTTTTGTTGCAGCATCCTTTGTTCATTTTAGAGGTGCCCTAAATATATAATTCATGATCAAAATGGTTCAGGATTAAACCCTACCTGCTTAGCTTGATATTTTAGAGCTCTCCTAATATCTTTAGAACATCTCTCTGTAAACTTACCTAAAACTTGATTTTCCCTCATGGTGTGTGTGACTGTGTGACAGGTGAAGGTGTGTGCTAGTGAGGATGTGAGGAAGGAGAGGGGGTGGGTGTGGACAGACGGTGTGGACAACGCCCCCTCCGAGTGCGCCCTCGACGACTACTCCTGCCAGATGTTGCTTAGCAACAACGGCGACAATGTAATGTTGACTCAGCAATTAGAACAAATATGCGATTTAGCGTTTAGTAAACTGAAATTGTAAAATATAAAATGTTGGTGCTAAAAAGAATGTTTATGCTAAATGCAATGCTGTAGGTTATTGTCAGTTGCTAGGGGCTACAAGTGTGGAATGTGACTCCACTGCTGGTAGAAGCCAGGGCCAGGTCTCGTTCCAATGGTCCGGTACGGGTTGTGGACACGTACACATTTCTGATGCAACCTTCAAAACTACTCCTCTCCACTTGACCACTCACTACTGTGGATCTGAGGCTCGAAACATCTGGATGCATAATGAGATTCATGAGTCTGGATTAATCATTACATTATTGACTTACCGGGGACTCCGCCCACAAATAGTGGGCTGTTGAGATCCAGGGACACGAAATTTACGATGTCCGATTCTTGTCTAACCGGTTCTGCCCCTGTCGACCGATACGGCTCCCGTAATTTCATCCTTGACGACGCTCACGGAGTGCCACTCTCCGTCGCAGAGGAGAGTGGGAGACAAGTACTCCACTAGTGTCGGACTTGGCCCGTTGTCAAAGATAAGTCTCACCTGGGTGCGTACGTACACAACATCAGTAGCATAAGAGCTGACACCATAATATACAACAAGATAGGAAGTACATATATATAGAGAGAAAGAAAGGATTTCTACAGTAAAAGGAGGACAAAGAGAAGAGAAAGTGAAAGAAAAGATACAGGGAGATGTAGAATGGGTGAAGGGAGAGAGGGAGAGGTGTTACCAATCCGTCCACCATCTCCAGAGCCAGGTGGTCTGGGTGGGAGGAGCTTGCGATGTAGAGAAGAAGCCCTGTGCAGCTGGTCGTCCGGAACTCCAGCGAAGCCGAGAAATCGATTCCACCACGTACTTCATCCACTGGACAAACATAACATCAACATCCATAAGTTTATGTCGCCACGTCAGGAAAACAGATTTTTATGCTTCGGATCCATCAATGAAATTCTTATTGGCTACTAATTTTAAAACCTCTGCTTGAAGGCTGGTATACAGTATAAGGAAAATGCACATCTACAACGAATTCTCCAGAAATGAGGCAGAAAGAAGAGAGGTGTGCTATATATAAACGTACGCAGCTGCAGGTATCCGAGACCAGAGAAGGTGGCGAGGTTGGTGTAGAATTCCAGACATTCCTCCGAGCCCTGACTGGCCATCGGGGAGCCGAGGTTCAGGAAGACAGAGTTAATGGAGAGAGACAGCAAACAGCCTCTGATGCTGGGAGGAACCTAGTTGTAGAGATTGCATCACTCATTCACTCTCACTTTTCACTGCACCATCAATATGGGTTTTAAGCAGTGTTGAAGGGTGTGTTCTCCAGCTATAGTCAAGGTATTCAGGATGGTTGGTTGGTCTGTCCTCTTGCTAAAGTACGAAACTTAGGCCACCCACTTACAAACTGTACAGGCTTATATTTAACCCTATGCTCACAAACGCACAGTATTCTAATTGTTGTCTATACCTCTTCGCCTGTGGTTCTGAGCGGATGAGGTTGGAAGGTGGGAATACGAGAGGAGTACCGCCCACAAAGATGACCCCCATGTCAACGTGTAGAGACGAGAAGTTGCCTGGAGACACTCCCGATACAGTCTCTCTCCCTCCGTCTATCGTCATGGTACCCTCACGACCATTCCTGTACAACGACACCTAGAGACGTGGGTACAAAGGTCATGGGTGAAAGTTTATACATATTACTCGGTAGCATGAGAGCTCACAGAGTGGTCCAGTCCGTCGTGGTAGGTGTGGTTTGACGTCAGTATGACACGTCCGGTTCCCAGGTTGTAGGTGTAGACTAGGAACCCGCGTATGAGTTCTAGGGCCAAGAAATCGTAGTTGCCTTGGGCGTAGAGTAGCATGGCATTGGGTGAACTGGTCTGGAACTGGATTGCGATGATGTGGCTGGGGAGAACGGGAGAGGAGAGGAGGTGATCGATGAGAAATACAGAACCTCTGAAAAAGGGAACATTGGTGACGTCTTTATTCAGAGGTGTGTTTGGAGGTAATATAGTGTGGCAGAGTCAAGTGTCCTTTATAGAGAGAGGTGTGCTATAGTCATAGGGTCCTTCTTCTGAAGTGTCTCTTTCTATAAAGGCCTTCTTGTTTCTCTATATATACAATACCTTTCTGCTAGTTCAGATAAAGCTATTGGGAATGAGAGAAAACTGCCATCTTGTCCGTCCAGACCCACGCTGATGTTGGGATTTAGTTGAAGGAGGAGGAGGAAGAGGAGGCGGAGGAGGAAGGGGGTGTGGTTATGGGCGTGGTTCCTGGGCGGCAACCATACAGAGCCACACCCTCCAGAGACAGGGCACGAGAAAAATCGGCCAAACTGCGAGAAATAGGAGAATAGAATGGTACAATATGTAGCAGATTCCTTACTCCTCGTTGATTGTCAGCCGGTCATACATCCTCTGAAGCTTTCAGTAGTTGTTGCTACACTAATGGGTGGAGTTACCCCGCCCACTATGACGTCACTTCCCGTCATTGGGTGTGGTTCGGATGTGGGTGTGGTCACTGCGACATCATCGTCAACGGTGAGGTTCGTTCTCCCATTCCCCAGTTCCAGTACCACACTGTGCCAGGCATCGTCATTCAGGCCGTCCCGAATTGAAAACAGGACAGCCCCGGGAACGTCAACTCTGATCTTTGTGTGGTAAAGACTAATTGAAACTGAAGAATTCTGCAGAAAACGTTTTTAGACTCTTGTTAACACAATGGAAATGTTGATGTATACTTATGATGTACTACCTCGTTCCCGATGTAAAGGAGGAGAGAAGCCAGCTGAGTGGAGTGAAACTGAAAGGAAACCCGGTAAACATCGTCTGTTGCTGGGCGGAGCACTGCCACGCCTTCCCCCGTGAACCTTGCACCCGGGACCACCTCGGAGGGGCACCCAGAGAAGGAGACGCGGGAGTGAGAGGAAGAGGAGTTGAGCGAGACAGTTTCACCGGAGATTTGGAGGCTCCTTGCACACCCAGGCAGAGAAACTTCAGAACTGGAGGAACATAAAGAGGGGGAAGGGAAGGAGTACTCGAAGGGAGGCAGGTGTGTATAGATATTTGTGAGAGGAAAAGGTTTGCCAATTTTGCGGTTTGAATTTCTAACCTTCCGATGGAAGATTGAAGAGATGAAGGAAGACCACCTATATACAGTTGCTGGGACGATGGAGTAAATGTTGATACGGACATCGTCGAAGTGGCGTTGACTCCCTCATTTGAATCGACCAATAAGAATGCAGTATTTGCCTCCACGGTGACCTCCACAATGTGCCACTCTCCGTCGTTGACCACACCCACTGTTTGTGCCGTTGCCGTGGTGAGGAGGTCTCGGGAGAACTGGAGACTGAGTCGTCCATCCGTCACCTCCACTGCCAGTCTCTGCAGAGATCACGTGACATTTACAAGTCACATGACTGTCACATGATCCTTACCTGAGCCATATCCTCACTGAACAAGGCTAGCAGCAACCCCTCGGCAGAAAACTTTCGGAACTCTAGCGTTGTTGAAAGTGGGGAGGCCCCTTCAATTAGCGAGTTAACGACCTGAACGTAGCTCCCTCCTCCCTGTAGCCACACGCCAGTCTCCAGTCTCCTAGCAACCTCGGACGGAGGTCTGCATAATACGATATGAGTTTAAATTTTCAAGCAAAAAACAAATTTGTTTACCGTGGCCCACAAAATTGGAGCGGTTGACCATCATTTATGTCAGGGAGAGGAAGGGGAATGAGATTGTCATTAACAACAACACGGTCGAGACAGCCCGAGTAACCGCCGGCAACGAGAGCAGGTGAACCTCCGAGATACAGAGTTCCATTAGGAGGGAGGGAGGGGGGAGCGGGTGAGGAGGTAGAGAAGAGAGAGGTGGGGTAGGCCACACCCCCTTGGAGTGGCGAGACTGACAATTGAATGCCGCCACCTTCCCTGAACATGAAAAGTGGAAACTCATAACTGAATTTTCAAATATTACAATATATGCATACTTTGTGGCAAACAGCTGGTACCAGGTGCCTTCCTGTATTACTCCGGTTGCCGTGGAAACAAGCTCCACCTCCTTGGCCCCGCCCAGTTCAGTGGCGAAAGCAAGGCTCCCGTTCTGTAGACTGAGAGTCAGGGAGTGCTGTCCGTCTCCCCCGGGGGACGAATGGAGCATAAGCCCAGTGGTCTCAGAAGGGTTAAACACCATCGAAATACGTGTTGCTGGGTCAGAGGGGGTTAATCCAACATTGTTGTACCCAAGAGAAGAATTTCCATGGAAACGCAAAGCCACATCAATCTGAAACATCAGTGAAGAAATGTTTCACGAGATTCAAGAGAGATAATTTCCATGGTGATGACTGCTCACCATGGCCGCAGCTCTTCTTGCAGCGTCCAGGTCTTGTCTTAGTCCGGCCAAGTCAGACGCTAGTCCGTTCAACTCTCCCTCGTTTCCCTCCCTCTCTCCCTCCGCCATTTGAAGGAATGTCCTTCTTGACGTCAGCTCCGATTGGGTAGCTGCAAGTAGAAACCAGTAAAACTGGTTTTATAGTCGGGTAATTGAAGGGGCTTACTTGTTAGTGTGGAGTTGGTGCTGACGAGAATTGCGCGAGCGATGGCAAAGTTTATGCCAGTCTCGTTTACTGTTCCCACGGCAGCGGATGCGTTGTCACGGAGACTGGAGAGTTGTGTGAGGAGGGACTGGTGAATGGCTGAGGTGGTGCTCCGCGATGAATCGATGAAACGTGACGTTTGAGACGTCTGGAGAACGGTCATTGCTATAGAGGGATGGAGTAGAGGAAGATGACTTGGTAGAGAGATAACGAAAGATACCCTGTCCTTCTCCAACTCACCTGAGAGGTTAGCCAGCTGTGCCACTGTTTGCTCAAGTTGCTCCACCAAAACTGCCAGACGCGACAGCCTTTCTGTACGCCTCTTCTGCCACCTCCACCACTGAGCCATACTCATTGACTAGCTCTGGGGAGATAGAGAAAAGATGTTGATTTTTCAACCACAACTGAGGGCATTTACATAAATTTCGTGGCCTAGGATTAATACACCCTCATATGTTGCACATGTTCTTGTTTTATTCACCTTCTGCCCTTTGGCCCTCTTCCCTGGCATCACTGAGGAGGGTTTCCGACATTGCAAACAGCTGCCGTGTCTCACGGCGAAGCTCCTCCCCCTCTCCCCCCATCACCACTCTCCCCACTTCCTCCAGCACCTCCCTCGTCTCCGTGGCAACCCGGAGAGCCTCCTCTATGGCTTCGACGGAGGAGGTGTAATTCAGAATGACCTCCACTGCAGTTCCACCAGAGTCCAGGCTCTCTGACAGAATACTGAGAGAGAGAATGAGATTTTTGCACTTCGCTGAACCTCTGAAAATGGTCCCTCTGAAAAAAGGACACTTCTCTATAAAGGACACTGGTTTGCCCCAGACTACTAGTACATACCTCTGAATTATAACCGACACCTCTGAAAAAAGGGCAATTTCAGTGTCCCCCAAGGCCCAGAATGTGTAAAAATGTGTGAAGGAACACATACCTGCAAATCATATCTGCCTGTTCCTGGAGAGATGTGCCGTAGTCGACTGCTGAGCTGACCACACCCCTTACCACGCCCAGTGCCACACCCACACTCTCAACACCCTCCTCAAGACGAGCCACCTGATTGGTCAGTGCGTTGGGGGCCAGTCCCATTCCCGATCCAGATACCGCTGGCTCCATTCCGTCACCTAACTCTGGGGTCAAAGGTCCTCCCGGTTCAGTACCGGAACCAGACATTGCAGGGGTCTCCATTCCAATCCAATATCTCAACTCATCAACAGACTCGCATACTGCAGTGATGTTTGTTTGGGAAATCACTTGTTCAGAACTTTCAATTTCAGTTTGAGCTCTCTCAATGACATCATTGATGGTACTGACATCTTGAATCAAGCTAGAAACCTCAGTAGCTGTCATTTCAAGTAAATTTTCAACTTCCTCCAATTCTTCCGTGATATCCCTAATGGATGATGATGTAATGTCGACATCATCTGAAATTCGCTGGAGTCCTCCAATCAAATTCTCTGCTTCACCATTCAAACTCTGTGATAGGTCACGTACACCCGTTGCCCGAACAGCGATCTGATTGGCTCGTTCGACCGCACCCTCCAGAGCCATTACATCATCGGAATAATCCTCTGTGGCGTGCAACTCTGTAATAGCGGTGACATCATCAGCAATACTCTCTGCCGTGGCAACCCAGTCAGCCACACGGGGCGTGACTGTCTCGGCAAAGAGTGTAGAATCGACGAGCTGGCCCAGTCCTCTCTGGACCCGGTTGTAGATCTCCTGGATACCGTTACCGACCTCCTCCGCTGTCGGCTGCAGTTCAAAGGTCACCTGCAACGAGTCCGCCACCTGTAATAGTGCATTATCGGAATGTGGAAGGAATAGTTAAAATGCTGAAACACAGTGAAAAGTTGCTTATGTGCAAGAAGATAAAGAGTGAACCGGAACCATCTTTGAACTCAAAAATGGTAAAATTTGTTCTTCCGTGCCACTCTGACTGAACAGGTTATACGACTTTTCCCCGGCAACTCACCGTTTCTTCTATCACCGGGACAGCCTCTAGTGCGTCTGCGTAACTCTCGTTCACGGAGGCCGCTGCAGCCTCAATCTGCTCCAACCGCCCACCAATTCCCACGAGATCTTCTCGAAGCTGGTCAGCTACCTGTGACATTGAGAACCAACTCAATAATGGTCACTCCTGAGGATTATTTCCACAGCACACTCCGGTAATGGTCAAGGTATTCAGAATAGTTGGTTGGTCCGTACTCGCCTCCACTTTCGTGCTAAAAGTACGAAAAGTTTAGGCCACACCCACGACTTTGCCAAACATTTCGTTACTTAACTGGAACTCTTTTTCAGTGGCTATTATGAACAAAACTGGACGATGCAATCAGTTACCTGTGCCACCTGTCCGAGGCCCTCCTGGTCGATGGCGGACAGCTGCGTCACCAGCTCCTCCTGCTCCGTGATGTTTGCCAGGACCTCCTCCTCCCTCTCCAGGTCGTCTCTCAGACTCTGCTCGCACTCTCCGCATGGTTCGCACCCGGACGGGGAGAGGTCAAAGGTGAAAGGTTGACAGAGGTCACATTTGGCGCCTTCAACTCCAGGTTGGCAGAAGCATTGTCCGTTTGAGTAGCAGCTGCCGTTGACTGCGCCAACTCCACACTCGCAAGCTGTTGGGGAAAGGATATCTCTGCATATGTCTTTTTATTCTTTTGTTGGCTTACGTGTGCAACCGTCGGTAGGTGAGAAGTTGAAGTAGCCCGGGAGACAGAAGTCACACCCCCTTCCACCCACACCCTCACTGCATTCACATTCACCGGTCACCACGTCACAGGAACCGCTGAGTACACTGCCATCACAGACGCACGGTTGGCAGCCGACGTTAGGTATGAAATTCCAGTAGCCAGGCTAAAGGAGCAAATGATGGGGAATTGAAGGACCACTGTTTTAGCAAAGACATTTCAAAATAACCAAATATAGTGTTAGGTAAAGAGCTGGAAGAAGAGGACTTACCAGACATTGTTCACAGCGAAGGCCGTTCACCCCAGGCAGGCAGGAGCACTGACCTGTCGTACTGTCACACAGCGAGCCGTCTGACCCAGGAGCATGACAATCACATTCTGAAGACAAAAGAGAGGGGAATTATAAATGAAATCTGAGTCATCTTTCATTCTAGATTTGTGTCTGGTATGCAAAGGTACAATTACGATTGCCTCAATTTCTCTACATTTGACAATAAAGCGAATTTTTGATGTAGAGTCAAGTCACTTACGCTGGCAGTCTTGTGTGGTGGCGTTGCCATAGAAACCAGGTGCACATGTCTCACACTCATCCCCTGTACTATTGTTGGTGCATTTCATGCATCGTCCAGTGTCTGTGTCACATGACCCAGGCACCGAGGGGTTAATGTTCCCGTTACAGTCGCAGCGAGTGCAGCGGAAATCAGGAGGAGCTCCGAAATATCCCTCTGAGCAAGAGTCACACGTGTCTCCCTCGTGTCCCTGACGACAGTGGCATACCGGGTTGCCGAGCGTGTCAGGGGTGCAGAGAGAGCTGTGTGGAGAAAGTAGCAAGAGAAAGGAAAAGAAATTATGATGAAGTGAGAGAGGGAGAGATGAGTGAGTCTGGGAAAAGGGGCCTGTTGTGAAAACAGAAGACACGGTAGGAAACTTGAAATTTTCGTTTTCTACTGAAGTTAAGTTTGCCAATACACTGTATGGAGATCATTCTCACTCAATGGCAGTCACAGTAGTACAGGGACATGGGAGGCAAGTGATTCCAGGGTCAGAGGGGTCAGCATCATAGTAACCATCGACACAAACATCACACCCTGCACCAGTGCTGTTGCCGCGACAACCCTATACAACACACAAAGGTGAAACAAACGGGTTTGGTTTAACTCTTTTCTCACCAGGCAAGTTCCGTTCCCATCGAGGCAACTATCGGAGAGTCCGTTACACTGGCATAGCTGGCAGTCACCACTCACGGAGGACATGAACCAGCCGGTCCGGCACCGCTCGCACGACTCCCCCTCGTAGGGGGCGGGGCAGTCACACACTTCGGAGGGTTCAGAGGTCACATTGAGGTTCTGATAGCAGCTGTCAGAGCGTCCGGAGCAGTCACAGGGAGTACAGCCAGAGGTGGCGAGGAAGAAAGAGTCTGGAAGACAGCTGGAGCATTTGGGACTCCCCACATTGGGCTGGAAGAGAGGGTGAAGTGATAAAACTAGTGTCTGATAGATCTAGGTTCTGTCTGACTTGGCAGGTGCACTGTCCCGCGTTGTCACAACTGCTGTTTGTGCTCCCAATGGCATGGCAACCACACTCCTCACAGCCGGTGGAGCTCAAGTTGAACCAACCTTCCTCACATACATCACAGCTGGCACCCGTAACTCCCTGCTTACATCTGGGAATTGAGAAACAGTGGATGCACAAGGCAGTAGTTCATTGGCTATTACCATGGGGAATGTATGGAGTAATAGTTCTGTACACATTATTTGGCATAGACAAACACTGAGCAGATCGTGCACAGAAATGTTGACTTACACGCAGTCTCCAGTGGTGTTATTGCAGTACTGAGTCCCCAGGAGGCCACACCCACAGGGGGAGCATCCCTCGCCGGGGTCTCCGAAACTGTTGGGAACACAAGCGTCACATGTTCTCCAGTCACCAGTGATTGACACCGACACTGCCCAGTAGCCACTTCACAGCTCTCCGAGGGGTCCACACATCCACAGTCTGGGGGGGGGCAGAGGGGGTCGGGGGCCGAATTTTGTGGGGTGTTATGAAAATACCTGCACATCCCGAGCTTGTGAGGTAGGTGGTGAAAGGGCAAAGGTCGCAGCGTCGCCCGGTGATACGAGAGAAGCCGTCTGATTGGTCAACACAGTCACATCGTCCTCCGTACACTGCACAGTTGTTGTCAATGGCACCTACCTCACTGCACCCACACACTATACGATTAGAGAGTGGGTGTGGTCAATGACATCATAATGATGTAATGGTGGCAACTAACGATAGGTGAGCTGGTAGAAGTCAATGGAAAGCTGTACTGCACTCTCCAAACAAAACTGCTCGTCGGCCGTCCCCTGACTGCCGAGAGAAATCATGTGACTCTCACATGATTATTGATGATGTCACAACCCACCCCAGTGATCCACCAATGAAATCGCAGTTCTCCAGAAACCTTTCGCTCTCTTCGATTGCAGTGGCTTCGTAGAATTCCATTGGAACGGCAAAAATATAATCCTGTAAATAAAACAGACAAAACGTTTCATTTCAGCAACAGGGAAAAACTAAGCATTTCTCACTATGTTGAGGTCGATATCGTTCAGAGTTAGTGCAATGTTCCAACTTTCACCAGAAGTCAAAAAGAACGATTCGGTACTCAGGATATTTCTGGACATGACTAAGGGGGCATAGCAGGGGTTTGGTGGGGGACAATGGGGTAAACACGACTCTGGCATTGTAGAGCTGATCGCCGCCAGTGACCATCGCCGTTAGAGAGACATCAGTTCCAGGGTTGGTGTAGCTCAGCCATATTTGGTAGGTGGTGGTTTGGGGAATGGAAGGAAACTCCCACCCAAAAGACTCCTGGGTAAAGAAGGGTTAAAATTAAAATTAATTTTTGCCAAGTTAAACTTTGCTCCGTTCCAGATTTTACACACTGCGTTTGTAATCTGTTTACTTGAGTTAGAGAGTCTAATGAGAAACTGGCAAAGCCACGAGAGGAAAACCCTGCAATCTGTTCCTCATCAGTGCTGGTTGTAAACGGGGCCTGTGTGAGAGGATATCCTTCCTCTCCTTCAACCAAGATGGCCGTCAGCGAGCGGGCAAAGTAATCATCAGCTACCCAGCCCAGTACATGAGCTTCATACACTGCATAATACTGAGACTGCAGACAAGAGCAAGAAGAAAAGTAAAATTAGAAACTGCGAAAGATGCTGCAGGATGTAGACTTACACTCGTGTTCTGGAAGTGGTCTTGAAATCCATCAAACTTTACACGAATCTCATCTACTGACTGCAATGTATGCTATCACACTATAGTTTGGGTCAAAAATCAAGTTCACTCACTTCTGCTGAAGATGCTAGTGGGCAAAGTGCTATAACTCCACCATCCGCCAATACCTGGAAGATTTTGTTTTACTCTCAGTTTCTCTATTGGAAGCCAGTAGCATTGCATACCTCTTCCACCGTGAATTCCTCGCAGTTGTCCGCTCCCTCGCAGTCTCTGCTCGCGTTGACGGCGAACACTCGCAGCGTATCGAACGTCTGCAACCCAGCAAGGCGGACCTCCAAGTACAGCCGACGAGGCAGGCCAGAGGCAAACGCCAGTCGGACTCCAAGGAAACTCAGAGAAACGCCAGGCTGCTGGGAAAAGAAAAAGTGTACAAGGTTCAGTAGCTAGTTTGTAAGTTCACCTCAGAGATGGTAAAGTTGAGGTAAACTGGAGAAATTCCGTTCTCCGACTGCCATCTCGTGCTAGAGTTGCCGTCTTGCACGTTCTCGGCGGAGAAATCGCGTCCTCCGCTGCCGCAGATTTGAAACTGGCCCGAGTTCTGGGGTTCTTCGTAACTGGTGGGGGGCGTGTCTGGTCCGCAGGCAGAGGTTGAGGAGACGGGGAAGAGGTCCGGCAGATCCACGCTCGGCGCGCTTCCAGTCAATCCGGCGGCCGCACCGACAGTTATCAGCAGCACCAGCAGGCCGCGAAGGCCTGCAGAGAAGTCTCATCATCTCTCTAGCTTCTCTACGACTTGGCCCAGCGATGTGTGTGTGGCCGGCCGAATGCTTTCCAGCTACGCCCCCTTCGACTAATGCAGAACTGCGCATGCGCCGATCAGTTGACAAAATTTACATGGGATTGGTATTAGTATACAAGATTTAGGATTGTTGGGCTTTCTTCTGTGCCTGTAACACCTTTTGCATCTCTTCTCGCTTCCTCTTGGCTCTCCTGTGCGTACCCAGCTAAGCAGAAAACAAACCTTATAATAACATTCACAACAATTCCCGAGTATCTTACCCTTTTCTTGGCAAATTTGAGAGCTCGCTTGTCCCTCTGGACCTTGAGCAGTTCAATGATTCTCTTCTCGTAGGGAGCCAGTCCCACCACCTCTCTCACCACGTCCCTCACGAACTTTACCCGCTTACACAGAAACTAGACAACGACGAAAAATTTATCTAATAAACGCACACCAAAAGTCGTTCAACACACACTCGTTGAAAATGTACAAAGCTAGTCTATTCAAAGGTGATGTGGGAAGGAGATACTCACCCCTCGGCGTCTAGAAGGCCGTGGTTTCTGCTGTAGTTTAGTGACTTTGTGGCCCTTTTTGAAGCCTACTGCCATCTCGTACGCCGGGGCCATCTTACCTGGGAGAGTAAAATGAGAGAGAGACGCTAGCACTGGAACTCGCCACCAGCTGATCAGATATTGCACAGAGAAGCAGGCAATGGATTACCAAACTATCCTGATGTCTCTCGCGCGACCGACGTTCTATTCGGAGAGATCTGCGCATGCGCGATCCGCAGTGGACCACGTGGTAATCTGGTGGGGACTGATTGGAATACCAGCTGCCGAACTTGAAAGACGTTGCGGAATGGCGTTCCCAGGACCCATGTTGTCTTGAGTAAGTCACTGTTTGAGCACTCTAAAATGTGCCGTTTCCCTTTCTCTGTCTGCTCACGTGACAGACCAGAGAACCAGGAGGGAAAGTGGAAAGAAAGACTCAAATTGGGAACATCCGGGCAGCAAAGGTGATCGATCCCCAGCACACTGTATTTACCTCTACATCACCTACTGCTCTCTCTTGTTCTCTCCACAGGCCGTTTCTGACGTCATTAGGACATGTCTCGGTCCCAGAGCCATGCTAAAGGTATGGGAGTATGGGTGAATGGGGAATGGGAGTTTGAGTCTGTGACCTTGGCTGCAGATGTTGATGGATCCAATGGGAGGTATAGTCATGACCAATGATGGGAACGCCATCTTGAGAGAGGTTAGGAGAAAGATGACGATTCTTTGAACTCTTACCACTTTTTCTTGAAATGTGTCAAATTATAGAACTGGTCACCAATTCTCAGATTTTTTTTGTATACTGCGAAATTTTTACGTGGATGGTGGTAAAATGTCTTCCTTGCAGATCCTTGTTCAGCACCCGGCGGCCAAGTCAATGATAGAGATCAGCAGAACGCAGGACGAGGAGGTTGGGAGATGGGACCACGTCAGTCATCATACTCGGTATGACACTCTTCATCTCTCACCCTCTGTTCCTCTAAATAATGAACACCTTGGAGACATTGAAAGAGGCCTTCATGTAGATGTCCTAATTATTAAGAGGTTTTTTTCCGAGATGGAACTTTCTCCCTCCCCCTCCCTCCCACGTGCCTAGCTGGTGAGATTTTAGCTGCCGCTGAACCGTTTCTGGAACAGCAGATGCACCCGACAGTCATCATCAGAGCGTTTCGTCAAGCTCTCGACGATATTCTCACCATCTGCAAGGAGGAGATTGGGTGGGTGTGGTCACGTCTTGTAGTGGGCGTGGCTTATTTTTAGTTTGTTTTTTCCAGCCGCGAAGTGGACATGAGCAATAAAGATGAGATGAAGAAGATTGTGAAGAGCAGCATTGGAACAAAGTTTATCAAGAAATGGTTCGTGAACTGTTCCACCATTCTTCATTTCATTCCTTCCGTCTGTGATTTAGGTCTGATCTGGCGTGCGAAATGGCTCTCAGCGCCGTTGAAACAGTTGCCTTGGAGTCCGGGGACAGGAAAGAGATCGACATCAAGCGTTACGCCAAAGTTGAAAAGGTATGTACTTAGCGCAGCGACTTAAGGTCCAACAAAACAAATAAAATGGGTCCTTTCGGCGTAATGCGATAGTCGACACTTTTTTAAATGTATATGAACCCATTCTGTGTCTCGCCAGTGTTGTGTGCCGTGTTTTTACCACTGCTGCTTCTGTTCCACACACCTCCCCAGATCCCAGGTGGCAGCCTGGAGGAATCAGAGGTCCTGAAAGGTGTGATGGTTAACAAGGACGTGACACACGCCAAAATGAGGAGACGAATAGAGAACCCTCGAATTATCCTCCTTGATTGCCCCCTGGAGTACAAGAAGGGGGAGAGCATGGTATGATGTAATGGTGATGTAATGTAGTTAGATACTCGCAATGTGATTGGTGGTTTGGTGTTTGTGTAAGGATTAGGTAATGTAGTGGTACTGTAATATGTTTAGGTATGCAGGGTGGATGGGTTATGGAATGTGTATGATGTAATGGTGATGTAATGTCCCCAGACGAACCTGGAGATATCGGGGGAGGCAGATTTCACGAAGCTGCTGCAGCTGGAAGAAGAGTACGTGGAAAAGATGTGTCTAGAGATCATCGCTCTAAAACCTGACCTCGTTATCACTGAGAAAGGCCTCTCAGGTGGGTGGAGTCGGTGGGCGTGGCCTGGTTTTGTACTCTGACCTCTGTTCAGATCTTGCACAGCACTACCTGGTGAAGGCCAATATATCCGCAATCAGGAGAGTGAAGAAGTCAGACAACAACAGAATTGCCAGGTGGGAGGGGGGTACTCTCTGTTGTTTAGTGTTGGCATGGCAACGAGATACCTGACCACACCCCCTGGTCTTGTATTTCCAACACCATGCGAGATCAGTTCGACTGTTGGGCTAACCTTGACAGAGCAGTAGCTGGATTTCCTTACTTCTGCCCTGTCACTCACCCAACACACACACACACACAACTACTCATTAAGAGCATCTTGAACTGTTTGGCTGTTTGCACTGCAATGAGAATCCATTGTATATATACTGACACACAGGGCCTGTGGAGCCACCATATGCAACAGAACGGATGAGTTGAAGGAAAGCGACGTGGGCACCGAGTGTGGCCTGTTTGAGATCAGGAAACACGGAGATGAGTACTTCATGTACCTGGTGGAGTGTAAGGAGCCCAAGGCTTGCACCATTGTACTGCGTGGAGCCAGCAAGGACATCCTGAAGGAGGTATACTTCCCTGTCACACCCCCCCACACAACGGTTTCAAATTTTTTGCCGACACGCAAGCAAACGAAATGACAAACCAACCAATCATACTACGTTGACTATAGTTGGAGGGTGGAATAGCATGACTATCTCACTTTTATTTCTCTGGCTCACAGATCGAACGTAATCTCCAAGATGCGATGCAAGTGGCTCGAAACATAATGGTGGATCCGAGACTCCTCCCAGGGGGCGGGGCTACGGAGATGGCTCTGGCACACGCCCTCACGGAGCGCTCGAAGAGTGTAGTGGGCGTCGGCCAGTGGGCGTACCGTGCCATTGCCAAGGCACTGGAGGTGATACCGAGAACTCTGCTGCAGAATTGTGGGGCCAACACGATTAGAGTTCTGACTGCCCTCCGGGTGAGTGGAATGGGGGAATGGGAGAATGGAATTATGGGAACACGAGGAACTTGATGTGCTTTTGAGTGTGTTGGATCTTACGTTCCATGTAGAGGCAAACTGTCATGGAAGTTTAGTATAATATTCCACACAACTTTATCCAGGGTTAACAGGTGGCTCTAAGAATGTGGAATTTAGCACTCGAGTATCTCTTACCATAAAATTTGAAAGAAAACATAATTATACTCACTTTAGCTGGCTTTGTTACCGTTTTGTTGTTGTGTGTGTGTGTGTGTGTGTGTGTGTGTGTCTGCAGGCGAAGCATGCGGTGGCAGGTAACATGACGTGGGGTGTGGATGGAGACACCGGGCGTCTGGTGGACATGAAGGAGCTGGGAGTGTGGGATCCGCTCTCTGTGAAGGTTCAGACATACAAGACTGCTATTGAGGTATGCATTTAGAGGGGGATAAAAAGAAGAGGGGAGAAGGAGACAATAAATGTATTGTCTGTGTTGTCTCAATGGAGTGAAAGTGGCTCTTTCTGTTGGCAGCTGCTAGTTTGTCTTCCTCGCTGGCTCCACAGCGGTGCTCTAGACAAAGTTTACATGGCAACATATGCCTCTCACTAAAACAAACACCACACACGTGCAGAAACCTATATACTTCCCCTGTATTACCCAGAGTGAACTGTAGACTGGTGGCTACCGACTCACGGGTGTTGAGAGGGGGCTGGGGTGGAGATGGGACTGAGTCAGTTTTGGGCAGAGTTTGTTGTGTGCCTGCCATACTTGGAGAAGCCCTGTGCTCGGTCTTCCTGCCTTCCCTCCCTCTCACTCCACCACCTCTACTTCCTAGTAGGGCCTGTAGTTTGGGGAGTTTTGCTATAGCTAGAGTTAAGCTACAGAGCTCCTTCGTGTGCTCATCAGTTGTGAGTGGCCAACTCTGGTTCTGTAGTGGGTGCTAATATGGATGGCTAATGTTGGCTGTTTTGAGTCACATGCATCTCGGCTGTTCTATGGTTTTCTGAATACTGCCTTGCAGTGTAGTTAGAGTTGGTGCCCTGAATGATGCTATTTAATGCCCTCTCCCTCATTATCCACAGACGGCTGTTTTGTTGCTGCGAATCGACGACATCGTCTCGGGCAGCAAGAAGGGCTCTGAAGAGGGAGGAGGAGGTAGAGGAGGGGGGCCAACGATGGGATAGATCATGTGACTACATTGTATAGAGTCATGTGACTACCTTGTATGAGTCATGTGACTTTACATTACATCATCAAGAGTCACATGACTTGATGTGACTTTATAATTGAAGCCGTATTATATACAAATTCTGTTGATAGGAGTGTATATATGTAAGTTTGAAAAATTGAAACAATATCCACACAAATGGGAATAATTATAAAAGTAACACACAAACCAACGATGCAACATAAAAAAATATTATGCTGAAAATTGCTATCAAACTGAGACAGCTATCTCTGTCTCAGTTCATGCCACTCTGCGATGTGCTTCCCAGGCTGAGCCAGTACATCGTTCCAATGTCTAAACTCTTCTCCTGCACCTTGCGACGAGAGAGATATGCTCCCCAGCTCTCTCTTGGTGGCCGAGCGATGCTCGTTGGACACGCAGACTGTGATGACCGCCTTCTGAACGGACGAGGGGTCAAGGGTGCACGTGAGGGCCTCGTTGAAGATGGGTGAACAGCTCTCGGATTTCCGCTTCGTTCTGAGTCTACCGATGACTTTGTCGCCAATGGTTACCTGTATCTTAGCCTGAGGATCTGTGAGAATAATAGCAGAATGATTGCTTATGCCAAGAATTGATAAGCCAAATACTTTCAGTATTACAAATAAGTACCAAATACTCTACAATGTACAATCTTACAGTAGTGGCATAATGTAGTATAGAAACTCCCCTCACCACTATACCCAATGTATTATATAGGTGTGAACCTAGAGGCTTCGACACCAAGACAACTTCCTGATATCTCCCACATCCCTATCCTCCCTGCTATGTATATTAACCACAGTGAGGGCTGCTGTAAGGACTTGCCTGTTTCTTTGCTGTTTTCACGGTTGAGGTCCTTGGCTCGCAAGAGAATAACACTCAGCTTTTTAGTGCCTGTAGTGTAGCAGAGGGACAGGAGAACCGTTCCGTGACTCAGTGTGGTCTAGAGAAGAGGGGAGAGGGAGGAGGGGGGAGAGGGGGGAGGGAAAGGAAGGAGGCCATAATGTAAAGAGGAGGCTCTGAAAGGTGTTTTGCGTAAACAGAGCTTTCGTGCGAATACCAAACTTCCTCAAGCTTCGCCATCGAGAAAAAACGACCACTGCACCATTGGAGCGAACACTACCTTTTGAGAACCTGATGAATACAATGTCACGCTAACATCCAGGCCACAGTTGAGTGAATACAAATATCTCGATGCTGGTTTGGCATGCAGGAGTTGTAGTGCAGAAATCCTCAGAATTTGAAGTATCGACATAAATTATCTCAATTTCCCTTACTCCCTTTACATGCAAGAACATGAAGCACACCCCTCACCACACACTCCCTCCCCCCTCTCTCACCCGTGGTGTATGCAGCTGGAGTACAACGGGCTCCCTGTCTTCTCCAAGCAACACCTGCCCTAACGATATCTCCCCCTGTCCAATGATGTTATGACGACCATACGCCCGGTAGTCGAGGACCTGCACGTGCAGCGTGGAATTCACAACTTCTTCCTCACTCATGGCCTCGTATTGAATCTCCTCGTGGAAAACCGGGTCGAGTTCACGTTTAGCGGTTCGTGTTTTAGAGGTCTTTCTCTGAGCCATTTCTGGGACTCGCGGCACAAAGAACAGTCGGACGTAGGCATCGACTTCTGCTCCATCGTCTCGAGGTGGCAAACCTACAACTCTCTCCACGTTCACTACTAGTGTAGTCTTCTCTCGAAGGTACGTGAGCGCGAGAAAGATCTCCGGCAGCTTGTCCGCGGAACCCGGGTTACGTCCCACTTGCTTCTTGGCGGCCGAGATCATAAAGGCGTCGGCCATGGCATGCTTCTCTCCGAACTGGCTCAGACTCACCAGCGAGCCCTTCCTGGGTCCATTGTGGACTCTTTCTCCGTCTCGTGGAGGCGAGACGTCCGGGGGCGAAGCGCTTTGCGTCCCAGAATCGGCGCTCTTGTCCAGTTCCCCGGCCCACTGTTTCCCGTTCTTGCTGCGACCGTTTCCGTGTTTCTTTTTCTTCTCCCCGTCTCGTATCGTTCTGTTCTGCTGCCGCTTGTGCTTCAGGAAGGGGTAGCGCTGGGAGGCCGCAGGATCGGGGAGTTGGGGAGCGACTGTGAAGGACATATCAGGAACCGGGGCACCGTCAATCTTTATGGTCGGAGGTTTTATGCTTGGGTAGGGAAGAGTGGAGAGGTTGGTGAGCGTCTTTTTCTTTTGGGGCACCTTGGAGTACCGCTGCTTGTTCTTGGCGCGGAGGATAAAGTAGACGAGGAGCAGCAGCAGCGCCACAATGGCCAGGAAGATGGCAATGATGAGAGGGAGACCCACGTATATTGCCATCTCGGAGCCCGACGGCTTGTCCCCTCCGCTGTCCGTCTGGCTGTGAGTGATCCCCGGCGTAGCTCTCGGAGACGTAGCCATATTTTACACCAACAGCTACTCGGGAGCTTTCGCACGACGTGTGTGTGTAGTGTATATGCGATTTACACGCATGCGCAGAACAGCACTATCAAAATTCCAACATCCTCTAAAACATTATCATGCCAATGTGTATAATACAGTTAATTAGGATTGATTTCCGGTGGCAGCTAGCACTATGGTGGCTCCTCAGGGCTTGCACCTCTCCACAAACCGGGGGTAAAGGACGACATCCCTGATGTGGTGTCTGTTGAGGATCCAAGTAAGGAATCTCTCCAGACCAAGTCCATACCCTCCATGTGGACAAGATCCGTACTTTCTCTGCAGCAATAGACATCAGCAATATAAATAGCACAAGAGAATAAACCAAGACAGATACTACTTTCTGTTTCAATTTTCAATTATACACACCTGGTCGGTGTACCAGTAGTAAGGAGATGGGTCAATCCCTGCTCGTCTGAATCCGTCAGTCAACTCCTCTTCTTTCCACGTCCTCATGGACCCACCCACCACTTCCCCAACACCTGCCGTTGTCATGACGAGGGGAGAGAAATGGTATTCTTGAATCCCCAACACAGTGCAGAGTTTACAATTACAAACTAAAGACTATAGCAAACGAAAACGATAACTTTTTGGAGGAAACTGGCCGTGCGGTAGTCTAAAAAGTGGTTGTCTCAAAACTTCAAACACCTTTGAGACACACACACACAGTACTATAATATATGTAGTCATAGAGAGAGGAGAAGGAGGTAGAATGAATGTACATCAGACCTGGGACCAGAACGTCTACAGACTCGGTAAGGCGTCTGTCTTCCTCACACCGCGGCATGTAGAACGACTTGATCTCCGCCGGAAATCGACACAGGAAAATGATCTGACACACGAGAGAGGGGGGAGGGGGGATGGGGTTACCTAGAGTAGTGTTCCCACTAAGACAGGACACTGTTTTTGTGCTTCCACTTTCAAAAGCTTTTGTGTGTTGAGAAATTATTGGTCTCCATGTCATAGGCAACATACATCAATTTCACTCCTTTATTAAATAAGTGGAATTGAAAGAGTAATTTGTAGGAATTAACGACTGCCACATAGGGCAAGAGGGGATATTGAAACATTTGAGAGGAATTCAGTGACCATATCGAGTGTAGAGAGATACGTGACTGGGCAATGGCGTGTGAAATACAATACCTTGTTGATCTTGTCTGTCATCTGCCTTTCCGGGGCCTCAGGGATGTCCTGGAAAAGAAAGCCAACACACACTCGTTTGACACAAAAAGCCTCGTCCAACTTAAATATATTGGTAGGATGGTCCGGTGCAGTAGACAAAATTTTAATAATGGACCATTACGTAAGGTTACGTAAGTTTTTATGTGCATGCAGCAAAAGGAGGGAGAAGAGAGTTGAGAGGACATTGAGAAGACAACAGTTGTACCTCTCCAAATTCATAGTATGTTCCGTCTTCCTTCTTGATGTCATTATCCTTGAGGTAGGTTATGGCATCAGAGTAGTTCATTCTCCTGCACAACGACGACAGTACAATAGGATGTGGAACCAGACATCCACTGGCAGAAACAGAGGCTATATGACAGACTTACATGAAAGGCCTTTCAGGAGGAGCAAAGTCCTAACGAGAGATGAGATAGTTTTGTGAGCAGTTGTGCTAGAACCAACAGGGTTAATTAACCAAGGGAGCTCACAGGGTTAAACCAGGGAACTCACAGGGTTAAACCAGGGAACTCACAGAGTTAAACCGGGGAACTCACAGGGTTAAACTCCTTGACGACAGCAGCTGCAGGAGATGCTAGCACTCTATCAATGACATCACAAATCTAGGAGAGGGAGAGAGGCAATGGCGTGTGAAATACAATACCTTGTTGATCTTGTCTGTCATCTGCCTTTCCGTTAATTTCCCCCAAGGTGAAAGTTATCTTTTGCAACAACTAACACAGGTGTGTCTAAAAAGCCAGTAGCCAAGTCCCAACATACCACACACACACACACAAAAATTGCATTGGTGTACCAGACAGAACGTGCGGTTCAGTACAATCTTCCCTACAGAAACTCAATTTGAGATAGAAATGAGCCCATATTATTTCAAAACAAACTTAGTCCACGTTAATTCCCCCAAGGTGAAAGTTATCTTTTGCAAAAACTAACACAGGTGTGTCTAAAAAGCCAGTAGCCAAGTCCCAACATACCACACACACACACACACACAGACAGACACACACACAGACAGACACTGACCAGATCTTCCAGTCTGTCCAATAGCCAGTAGCCAAGTCCCAACATACCACACAGACACACAGACAGACAGACAGACAGACAGACAGACACACACACACAGACACACAGACAGACACTGACCAGATCTTCCAGTCTTTCCAATAGCTCGTCAAATGCTATGAACGGACACTCTCCTTCCAAGTGAGTAAACCTTTAAAAGAGATAAGGTGAGGAGGTGGAGGTATATACAATACTAGAGGAATTCGCGCATTTCACACGTATTTAGAATCGTGCAGAACATTACGGTGTGTGCAGTGCCCATCACATACAGAATATATAGAAAATGGCAGCATTCAGACGACTAGGTATATAGGTAGGCCTGGCGGTAACTAACTCGGCAACGTGTCTTCTTGTACGAGAGACCTCTGCTCGGTAGGAAGACGTGATGCAGAACACGTCCCCCAGAGCCGGGATGACAGTCTCCAGGTACAGCTGGGAGGACTGAGTCAGGTACGCCTGGAGAAACAGGGGGGGGCCTCGTGAATTTGCGGTCATAATGGAACCACTATAATCTGGACACCAATGAGGCAGAAAATGGGCCAAAAACAGTGAGATGTCAATATTTTAGGGGTTAAGTTGCATGTGGTAACTGCTCTTGGGGAAAGAATATGTGTCTTTTATCAATTCAACCTCATCGCCAAAGTAGTCCAGTTTGAAAAGAGTTGACCCGCCCTCCACCTGTGTCTTAACGAGAGTGGGCGGAGTCACTTCTACATAGCCTCGACTGAAGTAATGGTCACGAAAGCTGGCGAGAATAAGAAGATTGGGAAATGCAGGGAAAATACCCACCACTTACCATTGCGTAATGATAGAACGGGCTCGGAATATTTTTGACAGCTATATATAGCACAAAAGAAACATTACATCATATATCCGTGCTATAAATAGCTCACAGTCTCTCCTCGCAGCATGAGGTGGCGGTTGTCGAGCTGCTGGTCGATGTGCGAGTGCTCCGTGACGACATTCTCCACCCCCCCAGCCGGGGCGGCTCCTACCATTTCCCAGTAATCAGCCACCAGCTCGTGCCCACCGGGAGCCTGACATATGTTAGTGAAAATCATTGCCTTACTCATAATTATGACCAGCGGCCTTTAATGTAGTAGTAACACAGACAGTGGGTAAGAGGTATATATTATATTGATAGAGAGGAACGTACAGTCTTTCCTTCAGGTAGTGTCTTGAGGACCCCATAGACAGTGATGGTACTCTCAGGGGCCAGAGTCAGCGCCTCATACGTCTGACACTAGTGAGAGAGAGAGAAACAAGTTTTGAGATTCTGAACATTATTTGATACACCTCAAAATAAAACTTACAATAAAAAATTTCCACTTTACCGTATTAATTGATTATTTGTGAGTGAGAGAGAGAGGTGGCTTAATTACCAGTTTGTCGTGGAAGAGACACTGCAGGAATCCGGTCCCGTCTCTCAGGACAATGAAAAAGAGAGATTTCGACTGCTGTCGTATGTTGTGAACCCAGCCGCTGATCCTGACTCTCTGGTCTCTGTGATCAACCGTGTCCCTGATCTTGATCTGACCGACAGACACATACATACATACATACATACATACATACATACATACACAAGCAAACAGTGTGAGACATCTATCTACGCTATGTTTGGTTCGGGGCTAGAAACAGCAAAGCTCGCACGGCAAAGGCAAGCCAGGCCCAACTAAAGGCAACTATGCAAAAGAGAGCTGCCCGGGGTGAGATTTGAACCCAAACCGCTCCTCATTCAAGACAGCATGCAGAGAGAGAGAGGGGCATGCAGAAGATGATGCAATCCACCACCATATCTTGACAGCAGAGGAATGATGTATGCAAGAATGTGCCAGTAAAATTATGTGGACCAGTCTTTACCCTCTTGGGTGCAGGGAGGCTCGAGTCCTGCGTTAGAACTATCTGTTTGGCCTCTTCCAAATTCTTCTGTCGCTTCTCCGCGTCATCCTTCTGCAGTGGGAAACGATCCTCCGAAGGTCAGGGCCAAACTGGTTTATCTGGTTACGAACCAGTCTCTGCTCGGCCTTGTCCTGTTTGTAGCCCTCCCTGACCCAGACCTTCTTCATCTTCTTCACCTGGCTTTGAGATACCTCCTCCCATCGCTGGCAAATGCAATATATATCCATTAAAAGAGATGGGGATATCCAAGATGAGTACATACAAAAACTAACTTCTCCTTCTTGTTTGGAGTCTGTGTAAAACTTGGGGAACGGTTCTTTCCCAGCTTCTCTCATGGCCTGCAGGGACACGGACTTGCTCTCGGGGCTGTAGTATCCGCGCACACTCACCCGCAGTAGAGTCAAGAATGGCTGGTCCTCAGTACCAGCCCCCGTCTCGTCGCTACCCTTCTCAGAGGTGTACAACGGAGCTGGAGGAGGAGAGATTGTACGTTAGTGTTCCTCGTACTGGAGTTTGAGGTACTCACTAGCTGATTCTGCCATGTCTATGGCCCTTCTCTACAACAAACCCTGTTCTTCAGTCGGTGGTTTGCACGCTGAACGCATGTGGTTAGAGGATAGCGCATGCGCGTGTATTCCGCGGGCGCCGCGCTCAGAGCGGGAGATACAAAAACTCGATAACTGAGCTTCATCATCCTTTCGTCGAGAAGAGAAAAAAAATAAGAAGAGAGAAAATGTCATTGGTGGAATCTTCTCCGCACTCCAGAGGACAATACTCGCCGTTTACATCGTCCCTGGGCCACGAGTCTGCGAACCAGCAGGTCCCTGGGTCCCCCCTCTCTCCTTTCGTCCTCACCGCTGCCCCCCGCGGCGGCCAGAGAAGCGGGATTCTGTGCTCTCCTTCCTCCGGTTCCCCCCTGGCCCAGGTCCCTGACGGCGGGAGCCCACTACTCCGTCGTCTCCTGGCTGGTAAACCCGTTGCACGTATCCCATCCATTCCAGCCGTACAGTGTCGTTGTCTTGTTTTAGGTCAAAAGAGAAGGAGGGACGAAGGGTCTCCGTCACCCTCTCCGTCCTCTGAACGCAGCAGGAGACACTCCCCACGAGTACCAAACAGCATCATCATACTCAGGAGAACTGCAGCTCCGCCTACTACCACAGCCAACAAGACCAAAGGCAAGGCTTTCCCCATTTCTCTTCTCTTACACTTTTCTTTCATAATTCAACGCGACCTCCACAGAAGACCAAGTTGTTCCGTCTTTATCAATCCCACCCAAAGAAGGGAGCAATGAAGAGGAAGAAAAAGAGTCAGCAGGAAAGGCAGGCAGCCTTAGGACCTTGCCCGAGGTCTCTGACAACACTAAACTACTGGATTTGTTTGGAGAGACCGCAGAGATATTTGCCAGCAGCCGCGAGGAATAACAGACTTATTCAACAAACTTATTCAACAAGATCATCATACACATTACGAATTATACAAATTTTCTCTGCAGAGTTGAACTATGGTTGAAGATGGTTATGCTTCAAGTTGCCGCAAGTAATTCTCCCACCTAGATTTCCTCTCAGTCTGGAAGACTTCGTTATCTCTGTACCTGCTCAAGCAAAATATTAGAGACACAGGAACCAATGAACGTTCTAGCAAAGGTTTAGTAGCTAGTTATTATAGCTGCCTTACAATTTCGTGTTGAATTCTTTCAATTTGAGTTGTAAATTATCCATCAGACTCCCAGTAATGATGACGTCTTCTCCTGGTCTCACAGTTTGAGGCAAATACTGATCTAGTTGCACGGGGTCTGGACTAGAGATCCTGGCCGGCTGACTCTGCCGCTCCGAGCGACGAAATTCTATCTCTTCCCACGTCCTAGCCAGCAGCTCCTCCAGCAGACGGTCTATCATTCTGAACGGCTGTGGGAGACGATCTCTCCACAACTCCGGGTCCTGTAAAAAGTCGCCAGAGAAACAGTCCCCTTCTGGTCCCTCGGACTCCGTCCATAATTTCTTCATGCGAGCGCCGAAGCCCCCTTTCTCCATGAAAATTCAGTTCACCACGTGTGTGTTATTTTACCATGGAAACTGATTTTCAATATTATTTTCCGCACAATTAGAGAGACTGATCGCTCTCGATCTCCTTTGGTCATGGATGCAGTGCTGAGGATTGCAGAGAAGACATCGGGCAGAGACAAGCTCTGCAGGTGAGGCACGCCGAGTAGAGACCCTTGCAACTAACAGCTGCTCCTCTTCTCCCGCGGCGCGGCCCCAGACTGGTCCAATATGGCTCCAAGACCCTCTCCTGGTGTCTGGAACTGGAGGGAGCCAGCGCCGAGCTCGTGAGCAAGCTCAAGGCTTTGGAGGTCTCCATCAGCACCGCTAGAAAACGTAAATCTCCACTTGGAGCTCGCGTGCATGACCAATAATTATCAGCCAAAGGAGTATGGCTTCATTAGTTTATTCTGTTCCCTCAGTGTTTCGTCTTGGGATGAGTATTGACAGTCTGCGATCAGCTCTGCAGACGATCCACCTGGCCAGCCCTGTCCTGAGGGTCCTAGTCACTCTAATGAGGGTATGTCGCGGACTCTACCTCCTCATCGACCACCTACTATGGGCGTCTCGTATGAGACTTGTCTCCATCGACGAACGGTTTTGGAGCCGTCTGTCAAACAGATTCTGGCTGGCCGCCATTTTTCTCTCTCTCATGCGAGATCTTTATGAATTCCTGGTGGCTCTCCGACACCAGAGAAACCGGTTGAACCAGTACGGGTCGTCTTCGACTCCGGTTACTCCACGTGCAGTGGTGGGTGGGGTACTCCAAACACACCCTGCCCTAGTCGTAGACACAGTGAAGAACATGACCGATTTCTGGATCCCTGCATCTCGTCTCGATCTCGTTTACCTGCCGAGCGGTATTGTGGGGTTGGTGGGTGTGGTTTCGTCGCTGGCCGGTCTCCTTGGGTCACATGACCAGAAGTGGAGACTCAGGTTCAGTTAGACCTTTGTCACCAGCGGAGACAGTGTGTGTGTGTGTGTTTGGTGAACCTAATTGAATTTCTACTTGTGTTGATCTTGGATTTCTACGCACGTGAAATTTTTTGTAAGATTTATATATGAGAATGATTAACATTGATTATCCACTGCTCAGCAGTGTGCAGGAAGATATGTGTCTCCACTGGTTTCAGAGTCTCTCTCCTCTTCTTCCTTCTTCCCCTCCTCTCTCTTCTCTCTCTCCTTCTCTGCTGCCTCGAGATCACCGACCTCCATCTCAAAGAAGGAGGCGAGAGAAGCCAGAGAGTGCTGGCTCTGAACCACTCCCACCAGCTGTGATCCCAGCGACTCATTCTGCCCCTCTTCTCCCCCAGTTCCGGTGGACTGAACAAACTCCATATTTGCATGTCGTCTCAGTCCCGTTCCAGGTCTGACTCCAGACTCGTCCAGTCGCGACGGCATTGTCTGGTTCGCGTCAAATTCCTGTCTTCGGAGTTGATTACGTGGTGGCATGTCCTGAATGCTACTTGACTCCACCCCTTTGTGACCCTCACCCAAGTCACTGCTGGAGGTAGTCGCAGTGTTGTGTGGCTCGGCAGTTGTGTAAGAGCTGGGAGATTGATTAGCGACTTGGCCAGAGCTTCCGGCTGCTGATTTTGCCACTGGGCGACCGATTCTTCCCCCAAGAAGAGGTGTTGAAGATTGACATGGAATGCACGATCTCTCGCTGTGGGCACTCTGCCATGTTGTGTCAGCTGGCGGAGTGACGTTTTCAACGGTGATGGTTGGAATGGTAATTACAGGGACAACCCCAACAGTGGGGGGAGGGCAGTGAGAGAGCCCCTCGGAACTTCTGCTCTCTCCAGTCTCGACCAGAGGAGGAAGAGGGAGAAACATCGGTGTTTGGTAATCACCTAGTCCTCCTAATTCCCTCGAACTCGACAGTGGCTCGATTGACAGCTCAGCAGGCGGCTGGGGGGTCTCTCCTAATTGGAGCACACCCGACGACTGTCGTCGCAGTATCGGCACTGGTCTCCCTGGCAACACGGTGGTGTCATTATTACACATTCTCCAGTAGACGCCTCTGTGAGCGAGGAGACCGCTGTGGGAACCCACCTCCTTCACCCTCCCGTGTGACATCACCACAATCCTATCAAACTGCTTCGTCTGCTCCAACTTGTGCGTTACGGCGAGAACAGTCCGACCTTTCGTGACCTCCATGAGCCGCTCGAAAACCCGAGTCTCTGTGACTGGATCGAGGGCACTGGTGACTTCGTCCAGGAGACAGATGGGGGATTTCGCAACGAGCATTCGGGCAATCGCGAGCCTCTGCCGCTGGCCTCCACTCAGGGAGCGACCTCCGGACTGAACAGAGGTGTCGTAGCCTCGAGCGAGCGACGAAATCCAGTCGTGAATATCAGCTCTCTTTGCCGCCTCCTCCACCTCCTCGTTGCTGGCCGCCAAGTTCCCCAGTCTAATGTTCTCCCTCAGCGACATGTCAAACATGTGGTTGTTTTGAAAAGTTGTGCTGATCTTCCTCACTCCGTGATAATACGGGGAATCCCCTCCGCCGATCACCACCTTACCCACGTTGGGGGAGTACAGCTGCATGGCCAACATGAGCAGCGTGCTCTTACCCGAGCCGGTCGTGCCGACAAAAGCCACTCTCTCCCCGGGCTGGATGTCTAGGGACACGTTGTAGATGTTCCAGTGAGCCGCCGAGGTCTTGTAACAGAAGCACACACCCTTGAAGGTGACTGGGAGAGAGAGAACTGTGCCCTCCGGTGCCGGCTCTTGTAGACTCTTTTCTATCAAGGCACTCCCGAGGTTTGAAGTCGATTCCCTTCCTCGCTCTCCGTCAATCTCGTGGGATTTGTCGTTGAGGAGAGCGTTGATTCTGCCCAGCGCTGCGCTGGCCGTCTGCAGCTCAGGGAACATGGAAGCTGCGGCTGTGAGTCCGACCGACACGCGAATGTAAAAGAGAAAAACTCCGATTCCTGACGAAAAGTCAGTGTAGCCTTCTCTGGCGAGCAGAATGATCCCAAGCAGCATGGTGGCGATGGACACATTGGGCACCATCTGCTGAGAAGAACCAAGAAAAGTTGCTGAAAAACTGAGCCTTGCGAGCCTGTTTGGTGTAGTACCGACGAATCGTGTCTTCCATCTGACCCCTCCACATACCCTCCAGACTGTAGATCCGACACACCAGGAAACCGTCGATCTGCTCTTTGAGAATGTCGCACAGCTTCCTGCAGGCCTGGCCCTTGGCAAAGAGAGACACGCTGAGTCGAGTGCTAACCAAGTGGTTGAGCACCTGACTGAGGAGAAAGAGGGCCGAGAGGTAAATTGCCAGGGGCCAGACAATTACCGCAGAATAGACGAAACACGTTGCGACCAGGACCATCGCGGCCACGATCGCTCGAACTGCTGTGGAGATGACACGTTCGACTATGTTGACGTCTTGGGAGAAGGTAGTGAGGAGAGAGCTTGGGGAGTGGTCGGTGAGGTAGAGAGGGGTAACGAGGCCCAAACGAGCGGAGAGGGCCCCGCGGATCCGATTCCCAACGCCGACTGCGATGTGTATGAGGAGGGCGGCCGACATGAGCAGGACTGCGAACCTCACCAGGAGGCTCGCGATGAGGACTCCGATCCACTGGAAGAGAAGACGTAGATCAATCACTCCAGGGGCAAACCCCAGCGTAATGAGCTGTGCAAACACGATGGAATAGAGGAAATCGAGCCCCACGTCTGCCAGGATCAGGACGAGGACTATGACAAGGTGGCCCGTGTACGCGAGAAGGTAGCGGGTGAACAACATGTGGAGCATTCCGAGAACCGACAAACGAAAGTTGGCGTTGACTTCGCCCTCGACAAACTTTTTCCACTTGAACTCGAGCTTTACGATGTCGTGACCTTTGAACCTGAACCCCTCGGTCAGCGGGTTGTCAACGGTGTAGTCCAAGTGTTGGAGGAATTCCGAGACCCCCTGGGGGCCGAATTTCTTGAGAACGTACTGGACGAAAGAGCAGGCGACTGTGAGGTAGGCAGTGTGTTCGTCGGTGTCGTGAGGCTTGTGCCAGTACCTCTGTAGGAGGAGTGTGTCTGTGGTATGCACCGTGATAAAGTCCCTCGCACCGCTTGTCAAACTCCCATCTCCCCGTCCGACCTGGACCGGGAGTCGACTGCACACCAGTTCGTAGAGCCCGTCTACAAACATGCAGCCTTCTCTGAGTGAGGGGTTGAGTCTCTGTATCTCTCTGACGTACAGTCTGTACTGGAGCTCTTCGTGGTTGTCTTCGTCCACCAGTGCCTGGAGGCAGGTGAGGCCCAAGTGACCGTTGGTCGGAGAGTTTGCAGCGACGTCTGACACTTCGCCATTGGCTCCTCCGCAGCCTACGACACACGGAGACCCCAGTCTGCACACCTACACAACAACCAATAACATTTCTTGTTTGCAATCATTGTTTTGAGGGATGCGATACACGACATGGTGTAGTGAGAACTTCAGTGAAACCACTGAAATAAGTAACGCCTTGGGGGACACCCAAAGTGTCGAATATTCAGAGGTGTCCCTTATTCAAAGTCACCTCAATGTCCAATGCAGAATATTCAGAGTGTCTAATGTAATTTTGGCAAACCTTCTTGAGTTCTCTGTGGAAAGTGGCCAGTTGGAGGGAGAAAGGATCCGAGGAACCAGGGTGCGGGAAAAGAGAGCTGCGCGGCTGAAAGTAGGACTCTCGCCTGTGCTGCGGGCCGAGTCTCCTAGCGCTCGGCGGTGCTAATCTGAAGAAAAGAGATGCAAATTTTCGCTAGCTATAGATTGTGCAGAATTATTTGTCGACTCACCGCGTTCCAACGTTGGGTACGGTCGCACGTCTTGGTTGCTGCGAACCCGCCTGGTTCCGCTCAACGATGCCCTGCACTCTGGGCGTGTAGACATGACTGCAAAAGAGAGCGGAGGAATAAAAATCAGACGTCAAACGCTGCACCGTTTGCTTGACTAACTCTAGCGTGGCAGCTCGTCTTCCGCTGAGATAACGGGACGGGCAAACAGTTGCTGCCTCTTCCATCTCTCCGCATTGATAGACTGGCAGGACTGCACTCCACCGTCAATCTGCATCCACCACACTCGCAAACCAGCGCATGCGCACTTACTACCGCACGCGCGCACTCTCTTTTTTGAGCCGGTCAAAATTTCCAATTAATGCCAACCACCTGTACACAATATCGGCTCCACAACAATGCAGCGGGAGCTATTAGAATAGTGAGGCAGTGCTCGAACGTACACGCACTGCAAGGCTGCCATAACATAAGCTAACGATACCTAAACCACAGTTACATAGAGAATGAGCTAAGACTAGATGTGTAGCTGGTCGGTCAGCTCTCCCTAAGACTGCCTGCCATCGAAAGACTCCATGAAGGACGTTACGATGCTCTTCAATTTCTCCTCCGTTGCTTCAGAGATCTGACCCTCTGTGCGGACGGTGTCCAGGAGAGGCTGGTGAGAGGATTTCATGTGCTGGAGGAAGGATTTCTCGAACGCAGTGACTTTTGACGGGTCCAGCTTGTCCAGATGACCCCTCACACCAGCATAGATGGACACCACCTGATCTTCAATGGCCATTGGTACTGAGAAATGGAGAGAGAGAGAGAAGATAAATCACTCGCCAAAAAGACAAATGGCGTAAGATTTTGAAATGGGTCAGGTTTCACAAACAGGAATAACCAGCTCACAATACTGTCCCTGCTTGAGGAGCTCTGTTAGTCTCACTCCACGGTTGAGGAGAGACTGGGTGGATGCGTCGAGATCGGAGCCAAACTGAGCAAATGCAGCCACTTCACGATACTGGGCCAACTCCAGCTTCATGGAGCCAGCAACCTGCGGAACAATAGAGTCTCTCTTGGTTGGTGGAAATAGCGCATCTAATTATGCTCACACATGCACATTTTTGAGCGGCAGAGAATGGATGACTAGGCTAGTCAGTAAATAAGTGGATTTGACCTGTTTCATTGCCTTGATCTGAGCAGCAGAGCCCACACGACTAACAGAAAGACCGACGTTGATGGCCGGTCGGATACCCTTGTAGAACAGCTCCGTCTCCAGAAATATCTGACCGTCTGTGATGGAGATGACGTTGGTGGGGATGTAGGCTGACACATCTCCAGCCTTTGCAGAGAGAGGAGGGAGAGCATCAGTGGTCTCAGCATACCAATACATACTGTAGCCAGAGTTCCACCAAGTTTACTGGTACAAGACTAGGGCCAACTACCAGCAATACAGTAAATCTCGCGGTAAAATAAACTGGCTTTAGAGGTGTACCAATCAACCACCACACATCCCTGCTAAATACATGTATATAGTAGTCCCTCCACCTGTGTCTCAATGATGGGTAGAGCAGTGAGTGATCCCCCGCCGTAATCCTCGTTCATCTTTGCGGCTCTCTCCAGCAGACGAGAGTGGAGGTAGAAGACGTCGCCAGGGTATGCCTCGCGACCCGGAGGTCGTCTCAGTAGCAGTGACATCTGACGGTATGCCACAGCCTGCACGAAAAATACTCTGTAAAGCAGCCTCAATTTGTACATAGATCAAACGTTTTTGTCAATACAAATTTTTGAAAGATACATCATTCATGCATTATGTGTGAATAAACCCTGATCTTTATTCGATGGTTTATACACATGCACCATAATAGGTCTTCTGAATTAAGATGTGTGGAATATATATATGTACACCTGCTTTGAGAGGTCGTCGTAAATGATGAGAGCGTGCATTCCGTTGTCTCTGAAGTACTCTCCCATGGCACAGCCAGAGTAGGGGGCCAGGTACTGGAGGGGGGCTGCGTCTGACGCCGTGGCGCTCACCACAATCGTGTACTTCATGGCATCTGTGGGGGTTCAGGGGGAACAAATAGTTTAGGACAAGGACGACGACAAATGAAAGGGAGAGAGGAGAGAGAGAAAGAGTGGGAAGAGGGGGAAAAGAACCTACCACTATCGCTGAGTCTCTTCACGATCTGGGCAACGGTACTCCTCTTCTGTCCGATGGCGACGTAGATGGTGTAGAGCTTCTTCCTCTCGTCGTCGCCATCGTTGAACCTCTTCTGGTTGATGATTGTGTCTATGGCAATAGCAGTCTTACTGCAAGTGGAGGGGGCGGAGGGGAAAGGGTAGGGGGGAGGGAGAAAACAGAGATCAAGAATGGAAAAGCATAAACTCAATACTAGAGCTAGTGTAAGAAAGGCACCACTCTCAAAGGACACCCCTGAAATAAGGACCCCTCTTGCAATTAGTGTCCAGATTAGAGGGGTTATACCATGGAACCTACCCGGTCTGTCTGTCTCCGATGATGAGCTCTCTCTGACCTCTGCCAATGGGAACCAGACTGTCCACAGCCTTGATTCCGCTCTGCATCGGCTCCCGCACCGAGATCCTGGGAATAATACTGGGAGCCTTCGTCCCCACTCGGGCACGCTGCGTCGTATCCAGTGGGCCCTGAAATAGACACACACACAAATACAGATAGAGATTAGTATATTTTACTTCCCCTCTCGGGTTTGTGAAAGGGGGTGCCCCTGTAATCAGGAAGGTGTATTGATAAGGTATGAGGAGGGTGCTATTCAGAAGGACCTATTGAGTGACTCAGACACACAGATACACGTGTATAGAGGCTGAAATAGGCCAGCACACGAGATGAAAGCCATACACACGCAAACACACAGTTGTATAGATGATACAATAGGGCAACAGTGAGAGGGAGAGAAAATGAGCATTTCTGCACGGAAGGAGGTCGAGTGTTTTGCCAGGTGAACTCTGACCTTCCCATCGATGGGGTTGCCGAGGGCATCGACGACTCTCCCGAGGATCCCTCGACCGACTGGGACATCGACGATTGCCCCCGTCCTCTTAACGACGTCCCCCTCCTTGATCAACTTGTCGTTACCAAACACCACCACACCAACGTTGTCCGGCTCGAGATTCAGAGCCATACCCTGCATGGAGAGAAAACTATATCTCTTTCTCTCTCTCTCTCTCTCTCTCATTCCATCTCTAACTCTTCTAAAGCAGCAAAGAGGCCACCGACCTTGAGTCCACTTGAAAATTCCACCATCTCCTCAGCCTGAATGTTCTTGAGGCCATATACACGAGCAATTCCGTCTCCAATGGTGAGCACACGGCCTGTCTCCTCCAGCTGAGCCTTTTCAGAGAAACCCATGATCCTCTGCTCCAGAATGGACGACACCTCGGCCGAGGTCGGGCCTCCTGTGGACATGAAGGAGAGAGGGGGGAAAGGGGAGGAATAAAATGGCGGCACACGAGGCAAGAATTGAAGTCTCGCGCGGCCGCGTTTCGGGGCGTGCGAGTGGGCTCACCGCTGGCATATCTGTGACTCTGAGTTGATAGGGATGGAGCGACGGCTCGGGGCAGCTGGAGAGAGAGGGAGAAAGAGAAGTGAACGGTCGCTCGCCGGTTACAGCTGCATCTCCGAGCGGGGTGGGCGTACAACTCTCACCAGAGGAGCGGTGCGCGGGAGGGCGCGGGCTAGACTCCTCACGGCTCGCAGGGATATCATCTCGAACGGCCAGAGACTCGACTTGACTGCGACTGAGCGACAAGAGCTACCCCCAAAATGGCGAGCAAAAAAAAAACGCGCATGCGCAAAACGCTCCAAAGGGATCATCATGCAGTGCATAAATATTAAATATGCAGCATGTGCGCGGGGAGCGGCGCGCGCGCAGAAGATAACTACGATCAAGCGACTAAAAATACAGTGTATGCAGCAGAAAATAAGACGTCATGTAGGCACACACATACAACACTAGTAATCACAGATGGTACAGTTCGAAGATAAACCAGAGATATGTAACAATATTGACAGCAAATGTGTTGTGGGGTGTGGCCTAGACTGAGAGAGATAAGAGGACGGCCTGCAATGATTGTATTAGCCACTGCTGGGGATATGGGACGCTGGCTGGCCTGGAGCTACCTACGCTGTCCCGGAATCCTCTTCTATATCACTACAAGTCTGTTCAGACGCGGTCGACTCGAGCTCGTCGGCAGAGCTGTCCTGGTAGTAATCGTCTGTAGTTAGGAGATCGTCTTCGACGTCGTAACTGGACTGGCTCTGAGTCTTGGGCTTGCAGAGTTGACAGTACTCCTCAAGTGTGGTGGGGACACGAACGCCGTCCAACTCTGCCTCTCTCCTCGAGTTATCAATCTGCTTCCTGCAAGAAAAGACAGAGGTGCAGTGAAACCACTGAAAAAGGAAAAGGCCACTTGGTTCTGCCCCCTACATCAGTATATTATACTACCTCTTTATAAGGGACGCCTCTGAATAAAGGACACTTTCAATCTCTTTGTCAGAGGTTTCACTGAGGGAATAGTTTTGTGTTATAGGGATTTGGCTGAGTGCCAAGACTTACGTGATCTGGTCAATGTACTGCTTGTCTTTGCCTCTGCTGTCTCTCCAGCGACGGTAGAGGACACTAGCATCCACATTGGCCGCCGAGAATGTGTTTGGTTCATTCAGTAGCGATATCACACTCAGGAGAATTGTCCTGCAAACGAGAAGAAGTGAGGAGAGAGAAGTGAGGGTGAGAGGATGGGGATGGGTAAATATTATGATTACCGAACACTCTGTGTTGGGTTCCACCGCTCTTCTGGTCGCTCGCCGCTGTGAGGGTCTTCCCCTGGCGGATGGAGGATTGATATACACAGCTCCCCATCCTGGGCAAATAGACAAATGAGAAACAGAGAGATTGAAGAGAGAGAGAGGAGTAGATACAGCATCAACAAGCTATCCACTGGAGAGTGTAAAGTCTCTTACTGTGTAGACGTTAGGGTGGAGAATGGGAGTGAGGAACCGTAGTCTTGGTGGAGAGTACGGATAATCGACTGGGAACTTCATTTCTGCCTGGAGAGATAGAGAAGAGTAGTAGAGAGAGGGGTTTTGGTTTCTCGTTGGACCACACCTTGAAGTAGCCTCCTTGGTAGGGGGTGTCAGGGGGACCGAAAATGGCGACGTGCCACACGTACATGTCCGAGTCGTCGGGTACCGTCACCGTGAACCCCTCCACGGGGTCTCTGTGCAGCGCCTTCAGCTCCATGGTGAGGGCCCGAATTGACGTGGCGTTTGCCGACGCCATTGCTCGCCGTCTGGGTGAACTGCCACGGACGGGTATTTGGCGCAGCGCTGCCTTGTGGTATGACAAATATTCACTGCGAGAGAACAAGATTCAGGCGCGTATTCTATTCTCTTCGCTCCAGTCGTCTATACCTTACCAGCAGGGCTCTCTAGTATCTCTCTCTAGACCCTCAGTTCAGACTGAGAGGCAATAAAACGGCGACACTCCAGGAAAGAGAAACCAACCTGTAAACAAAAGTATTTATGCTGAGTCAGCCAAAATTCCGCGAGGACTTGATTCCGTTCCGCCCGTCAAAAATACAGCGGGCTCCTCTCTCCTCTCTTCTACACGTGTGCACTCCCTCTTGTTTGCAACCGCGGGGAAGAGATGGTGAGTATACCCAGCTCTACCAGTAAAGCTCAGACTCTAACTCGACGCCTGACGCTTCCCTTTAGTCGCGACGTTACGACACAAGGACTACTATATTCTCCCCAGAAGGTGCACAAGGTGTACGACACCGCTGCTGAAATATTTTTGTTCTCCGCTCGCCCAGGTCGACTGTACCAGGTGGAGTATGCGATAGAGGCCATCAACCACGCGGGGACGTGTCTGGGTATACTGGCTTCTGACGGAGTCCTGCTTGCGGCTGAAAGAAAGAACATCAACAAGCTCCTGGACGATGTCGTCTTCTCTGAAAAGATTTACAAACTTGACGAGTGAGTTCACGCAAGAATGAGGTAAAGTTGGAGGTTGTTCCCCCCCCCAGGAATGTGGCGTGCAGTGTGGCTGGAATCACATCCGATGCAAACATCCTCACTAGCCACCTGCGCGGCATGGCTCAGCAGTATCGCTACCGCTACCAGGAACCTATGCCCTGTGAGCAGCTGGTCATGAGGCTGTGTGACTACAAACAGGCCTACACACAGTTCGGAGGTAAGCTTTCTCACAGTAGACCCCCCTCTCTAAGGAACCCCTGAAATAAGGACACCTTTTCTTTCAAAACAGTTCTTGCGTGCATTTAAGTCCAGGACACCTCACTAATATGGACACTTTCTTCAGTTGCATTAGTGTCCACACTGTGATTCACTGTTCAGTCCTCCCCTCTCTCTCTCGCTGTACCCGATAGGCTTGCGTCCGTTTGGAGTGTCCATCCTGTACATGGGGTGGGACCCTCATTTTGGTTTCCAGCTGTACCAGAGCGATCCTAGTGGTAACTATGGCGGCTGGAAGGCCACCTGCATTGGCAGCAACCACCAGGCAAGAACACCCTGAAATAAAGATAAAACATTTTTAGTTCTTTTTGTGTCGGCAGGCAGCCATTTCTCTGCTGAAACAAGAGTACAAAGAAGATCCTCCGACGCTAGACGAAGCGCTCGACCTGGCGGTAAAAGTCCTCTACAAGACCTTGGATAGCACAAAGTTCACCTCTGAGAAAGGTGTGCCTTAGTGAAACCACTACAACTGATTTGAAAGCTTTCTATTTTCTTGCCAGTTGAGATTGCGACTCTGACAAGAGTAGGCGAGGGAGAAGGAGGGAGAACAAAGATTGCGGTGTTGCCTGGTGCTGATGTGGACGCCAGAATCAAGGTCTTCTTCAAGAGAGAGGAGGAGAGGAAGAAAGAGGAGAAGGCGAAGGAGGCAGAGAGGGCCAAAGCAGCTGCCGCAGCCTCAAAGACAACCGCTTCATGAACACATATACCCGATAAAATTTTACACGTTTCCCCGAAAATTTACGAGCGGTATTCTATATGGTGCGCACCTTGCACGTGTATTAGCGGAGAAGAAATGAGCCGTGTTCGGCCGTTGGTGTTGTGGAGGGTGATGGGTCACGTCTGGAGAGGTCCATTGGCTCAGGGAGATGTTCCTCTGCTAAGTGCAGGGTATTATAATAAGCGGCCCCTCCGCACTCAACGTAAGTGATCTTACGCGGGATGGGGGCCTGTTTTAGAGCGGTGTGTTGCAGCCGGCCTGCAGCATCTGTCGCGGCACGCGAGGGGAGTAAAGGTGTGGGAAGAGGCCTTGCAGAGCAAAGCAGGAGAGGATTTCCAGCTCAGTAAGCTGTTCTCTCTCTCTCTCTCTTCATGCTTTTCCTCCTTATTCTGCAGCCACTGTGTGTGAATCAATGATTGATAATCTTCAAGTAAATCGGTACACCAAGTCAAGCAATATGACAAAGGTAGCTCATTGTAAAAGAGAGAGAATGAAAGTAAAAATTTCTCGTTCCAGATTTTTGATTGTGTTACCACAGCTGAAGAGTTGAGAGTGGCTTTGAAGGCTCTCGCCAGGTTTGGTTTGTCTCTGATCACGTGATTGTCATGTGACATCATGTGATCACTTGCAGCTTCAGGCGGAGTCTGAGTCGACCGACGCCTGCTCTCCCTCTGGTGGTCGTTAGGGCGTGTCTGAGGGCGGGGTCTCCGCATGAGGCTCTCAGACTCATCAGGAACAAGGTATATACAGTCAAATTTCTGACTCAATCAAATTGACACACTATCATACCGCGGCACTCCACCGCCTCACTCAGTATTGTGTTACTAGGTGTCGTACGGACTGTTTCCTTCGCGGAGAGTGTTCCACGTACTGATGGACGGCTTTATCAGAGACGGAGATGGAGCTGGTGAGACATACTGATCATAGTGCTGAGCCATAGTCACAAATTTTTTGGTGCATCAACAGTTTTTGAAGAGCTACTTGGTTATTGTAAAACCCTGGTTTTCTTTTCAGCACATGAGATTGTCCATGAACACCATGATCATTAATTATTGCACAGCCGTCTTTATTTTACTTGTCTCTGCTTTCCTTCTCTCTGGGTGTCCATGTGTAGGAGCTGTCTCGGTGTACAGTCAGATGCTGGACGACGAGGTGCTTCCACATGGAATGACCTTTCACCTCGCCTCCAGAGCGCACGCCATGCTGGTATATACACATTGAACCATGCCCCCCCCCTGTTGCCATGCACACCATCCAGGGTACGTCGGAGGCCCTGGAGAAGGCGGAGTCTCTCTCCCAGCAGTGTCAAGAAATGGAACCAAAACTCGGCAGCAAATCCTTCGTGATTTTAGTCAAAGCTCTTCTCTCCCAGGTAAGCCACACCCCCTGCCACACCCCCTTTACCGCGGGTGGTCTCTCTCAGAATAAGGGGAGAGAAGCTCTCTCACTTCTTGGCAGACTTGAACAAGACCAGCTCCTTTTTCCACAGGTGTGGGTTGGTAGGATTCTAACTTTTACCTACACATGATTTGCTGCTCTACAGACTCAGTTGAATTTGATGACACACGTGTTGGTGGAGATCGGCGAACTGGGCAGAGTACTGGACGTCCTGAGAGAGAAACTGTGTGTCCCGTCCGACGATGGGCCGGGCCTGCCTTTGGAGGCGTGGCCACAGCTCCAGGCTGCAATCCAGTCCAGTTCTGACATGGAACTCAGACAGAAACTTGAGGTAAGCATTTGCTGATGGAGTAATCTAGTCCAGCATTACGACTAATGTCACTAATTGTTCAATATTATATTTGAATGAATAAAGGACACACATAATTTGCAGTACATAAAAAAATCCAACGACAAGTATCTCCGACTGAAAATTCTGTTTTTTTTTCCGCAGAATCTTGAGAAAGACTTGGAAAATGTCAGAAAAATTCCTTCACAGCAATAGCACAATGTTGTATTACACAAAATACAGTCTTACTCGTCATCATACAAAATTTCACAGAACATCACATCAAAAAAATTGTATATACAGAGATGTAAAAAAAACACTGTTGGTGAAAATTGAGGGAAAAGTGAAAATTCACAAAACAAAAATAAAAAAGTCACTGTGTGAGAAGTAAGGTATATACAGTGTGTCATGTGATATGTCATGTGATCTGTGGAGTGTTTTCTACTTGTCTCCGAGAGCGTCCACATACCGGTACATGTCGTCCTCTGTGCCTGGAATGGGGACGCACAGTAGGACTTTTGAGACCTCGGGTACAAAGGTCAGGTCGTAGGGCTGTTTCTGGTGACGGAGGGTGTCGATGATTAGCCTCGTGCACTGAGGGGAGGAGGGGAGGGGTTAAGGTTTAAAATGAAGAGCGAGATATGGGAGAAAGACGAAAGATGGGCGACATTGAGTTTGGAGCGAGATAAGGGAAACTTGAAAGTTTGGAGCGAGATAAGGGGAAGAGGAGTGAGATAGGAGAAAGCATAGTGAGGTAGGAGAAAGTGAGAGAGAAGCTTACTCGTCTCATTTTGTTGAAGTTGATGAGCTCATCTTGCAGTCTGGTTGGCAGAGCCTCCACCACTCCTGACAACTCATTCAGAACTGTTCCTAGGTAGGGAACCAGCGGGGGGGTCCGCTCTGCGGCAACACGTGGCAGGGAGGAAAGGGTTAAAATGATAAAGACACAAACCTTCATAGAGTGGGAGAAGAACTGGTAATATTTGAGCTATATTTTCACCGTCTATTACGTGATGGACACCAAGTTTACACTTGAACTTTTATTCTCGTGGGTTGGTTAGTTTGAGACACTGAATGACACCGAACCAGAGAAAGTCACCCCAACTCACTTCCTCATGGCTTGTCTCAGTTTCTTGAACCGTCCTTCCGTGCTGCTCAGGAGCAGCAGTGACCTATACTGCGTCTTCATCGGCTTCGAGACGGCCTCCCAGGCGGTCTTCAGTCTCAGGATACTGCCGTGGGAGAGACCCGAGATGACTTGCATGAACGATGAGAAGTTGTTGAGCTGGACGCACTCCACGGCAACCTGGATGAAGAACTCGATGAGTTTCGGCCGGTCACCAGAGTAACGCTGACTGGCAATGCTCCACATTAAGAACAGCGACATCTGTGGGTGTGGTTTGTAGAGAGGAGAATGAACCCAGCCTCGGAATTTGGACAAGTGTTAGAATTAAACAGAATGTGTTAAGCTCAGCATTTAGAATTTTTTGTCTCGGACAATTTTTAGGTTCTCACTCTGTTGAAATGGTCGAATATGGCGGAGAGGTTGGGGGCAGCTTTTGCTTTGCTCTCCTTCCCCTTGGCTCTGAAGTACCTCAACAGTTCACTGCGGGAAACGAAAGATACTGGGAACTGTGTGAGAGCAGAGAGCAGTACTCACTCTCTGTCCACTCGGCTGTACAAGGCACTGTCGATGAGACTGAGCTGCTCAGCCGTCTCTCTTGGCTCCCACTTTAGCAGCTGCTCAAACGGATGCGGATGCTGCAGGGACAGAGAGAGAGAGAGTTGGTCTCAATGAGAGGGGAACAAAAATGAGCATTGAGGCTCACCAGTGGCTGTTGATACTTTAGCATCTCAAGTTCCTGTCTCTCTCCCTCTCCTTCTTCCTGCTGCATGTTGTACAGCCTGCACACACAGATACACACACCATCAGTACACAACACAAAGTAGGACAAGATTATGACCAACTTTTGCAAAAATACCATTTCCCCTGCCTTGAGAAAGCGCTTTTTGCTAAAATGTTTTGTGTGAAGTCCTACGAACACTGAAGTACCAAAGTACAAAATATTGTGGATACTCAGTAGAATTTAAAGCTGCCTCTTGTGACTTCCGAATCTGATCAGCTAGACCACGCCCAGACCACACCCCTCACCTGTGTGTCTCTAAGATGAGTTCGGTCTCGGCAGAGTCCATGTGGGAGCAGTCCATTGCTGTCTGGATCAGCGTCTCCGCCTTCTCCGCCAGACCCTCGTCCTCCCTGAAATACTGGGCGGGGAAGAAAAACTGGTTCAAAACCGGTTTAGCTCCTACTTGAAAGGGTTGTTTGTCAAGTTTTAATCCTACTACTTGCATAATGAGTAAACTTGATCAAAAGGGGTTCTGCCAAGGTTTTATCTTTTAAAAAGTTCAAAACTGGATTGTTTGGCTACTAAAGTTGGTCGACCCACAATTCGATGGGTCGACCAGTTCCCCGATGAACTCACGTGGAAGTGTTTGCAAATCCAGTGGTTGAGGGCAGAGAAGACGCCAGTAATGGTGCAAGAGATGGCGGGCGGTGATGTCGCCATCTCGTTCTCCTCGCTCGACGTGCTCCGACGACTCGGAAGTGGAGAGTGCTCTCGCAGAGGGGAACGCTCCAACGTGCTACGGGGAGAAGGGGGGCGGAGTCTTGGCCGTCGAGTTGCACATGATGGAAGGGATGCTTGCCGCTCTTGGACGCTCGTGAATTGCTGGAGAAAGAGAGATGGACGACAAATAGAACGATAGAGAGTGGGAGGAGAGCTATTGAGGTAAACAAACTCCAGAGTTTATTCAGGAAACCTCTGAAAAAACTATTTCACTTTCGCCTCAGCTGACATGAAGGCAAACACAAACAAGTCTCAGAAATCTGTCTTCTTCCCCTAGCAACCTGCCCCTAGCAACCTGCCCCGCGCACCGATGCTAAACTAACCTCTTGCCCCTCGGACGGCGTCCTGGGGGCACAGACTGGCCCTACGCCCCTTCTCTTTCCTCCCAACACACTCGTAGTAACATTTGAGCAGGAAATCCATGACGGTGTGGGTGTCAGTGTACAGCGGCATGGTCATGAAGAATGTGTTGAGGAAGTCAGGCCCGAGATGGCTGACTTTGACCACCCTCTGCAACAGATTGTCCAGAGACGCAGAGTTCACCTGGGGTCAATGAGATTAACTTCTTTCAACCCACCCCAAACACTGTTTATTAATTAACCCTTTCACAACCACATGTCTACTTAAGGTTTCCCTGTCCGTAGCTCTTTCCAGTCAATTTTGTACAATAATTATACAACCATGCATATAGAATTGTGATTTAACCCCTTTCCTACTATGTGTCTGGTTGACACGAGGACTCACCAGCTGCTCTTTGCCCATTTTGAAGGTGCTGTAGCGAATGAACTTTGAACTCAGTTCCGCCGGCTGTCCTTGACTGTAAGGTATACAAGCATACTACATTACACCACACAGTCTCAATTGACAGCTTTTTGACAACTTTTGTGGCAATTTCTGAAACTGCAGAGTGAAAGACCAGCCGATTGCAAGAGAAACTCTCTGATCTAAAATGTTACGTCACTTACCACTGGCTCTCAAGGATCCGCATGTGTTTCTCATTCTCGATGTTCTGTAAGAGAAAAGTATGGGATTTTCACACACACACACACCTCAGTTGTATTGGATCATGTGATCTATGAGACTGGTCACGTGACCAACCAAGCCCCGCCCACCAACCTGAGCGAAGTCTCCGAGCCACTCTGCCTTCTCGGTGATGCTGCCGGCCAGGAGGACGTGTGTCTCTGGCTCTTCATCGTCTTCCTTCAGCACGATCTTGATGGCTCTGTAGCTGAGCTCCGGGTTGTCGCAGTTCTCGTGGGAGGTCACGCTGCAGTTACAGAGAGGGAGGATCTGGGGGAAGAGGGGAGGAGGGAGAGAGAAAGGAGGGAGAGAGAAAGGAGGGAGAGAGAAAGGAGGGAGGAGGGAGGAGGGAGAGAGAAAGGAGAGAGAGAGAAAGGAGGGAGGAGGGAGGAGGGAGAGAGAAAAGAAAATGAAGACATGTCCAATTTTTCAGTCAACCGTCTCATGCTCAGGATTTTCATTATGTCACATTTATTTCTGGGGATATTTGCTTGAATTCAAGGATGGATGTTGGTAAGTGTGCAACACCCACGAACCTTCACGACTCGATACATCTCAGATGTCTTCTTCTGGATGCGAGTGGTGATGAGGAAGTGTTTGGAGAACAGGAAACAGACTCTCGGCTGAGTCCGAAGGCGAAATCCTCGAGAGAGAGAACTCGAGCGTTCCTCCGCTGTCCTCGCTTGGTACAGTGTCCCTGCGGGGAAAGATGGGGAAGGAAAAGATGGGGAGAGAGGGAAGAATACAGTGTTAGTTGCTTCATCTTTCATCTACAAAGGGTTGATGGTACACAGGTGTTGAGGTGCAAGGTGCATAACCCACAGCATCAATATTCCTACTAGTGTTGACAACAGGGAGGAAGGCAGAGGTATATACAGTACATAACATGATATGTGAAGCCTGAGCATCAAAGAGGAGGAAAAGGGTGTCCACATCCACCTCATTTCTGGTGTGAAAGACAGCTTCATTTCCTCTGTCCACCTACGTACAAATCTCTCTTCCCTCTGACTCTCTTAACCACGACTACAGCCGAGATTGCGTTTCTTTGTGGCAATAGAGATTCCGAGGCAGTTCAGTATAGTATGGCATGTGAGGTCAGTACACCCAGTACAGACTCAGTTCTATGGCTACCCGGTACAAATGGAAGCACCTTTGTGTCCAAATTTCGTAGTGTTTCACCACTGTGTTTCAGTGGCTTCATGACCAAGTAGGAGAGAGGAGAGAGAGGGAAGAGGAGGGAGAGTGAAGAGGAGGGAGCAGGAGGAGAGAGAGGGAAGAGGAGGGAGCAGGGTCCAAACCTTCTCTGAGAAGAGTCTGGTCTTTGTCAAGCAGAGCGGCACACCCTCCCTCCATCCTCCTCTCCACCTCCAACACTCGCCTGATGTTCTCAGTTTGGAGACACGACTCCTCATCATTCATGGCCTGTGTACAACATGTACACCATTCACACCGTGTACTCCATGAGGTACAGTAATGTTGCTAATGCGTAGGAAGAGGTGCAAGAGATAGAGGGAGTGTTGTTGGACCTTCTGTATGCAGTTCAGTTCGTCTCGGATCTCCTGGAAGGTGTCGTAGTCGACATGCTCTTGTGGGGTGTGGGCGTGCAGCTCCTGTAGGTCCTGAATCAGGGTGGATATCTGGGGAGGGAGGAGGCCATATTGTGACACAGGCTTTGTATGCAAGAGAACCGGTTTCCGGCACAGGTCCATACTTAGAGCGAAGGATAGTAAACAAACAGCCCTACATTTGACAAGCTGTGAGTCAGGCAGGGCTATAGAACTCGAACAACAACAACAACTCACTGCAGTGTTTGTGAGCATACATGCGTGTGTGTGTGTTTGTTAGATTTTTGGAGGGAACTTACCCTTTTCAGAGGCACAGAAAGCAGCTGCTCCAGCGTCATTCCAAGACAAGCCGGTTTTGACTCGAGAAAGGTGAGAAAGTCTTTGAACGAAGAGTCCACTGTTAGAGAAACCAGAGTCTGGCGAGAGAGAGAGAGAGAGAGAGAGAGGAGGAGGGAGGCCATTAGAGTGTTGCTGGTGTATGGAGGTTTGCTGCACCCGACTTACTTCAATGGCGTGGCTGTGACTGGAGATGTACTCATGGTACACCACCATCATTGGTACAAACAGCTTCAGCAAATCACCTGGAAACAGCAGCAAGCAAAGATATTATTACATGTTACATCATACTCCAAGGAGAATTACATCATACTCCAAGTCTAGAGTCCCAATTAAAACACAAAGCCATTGAATGAAAACGGACATTCCTGAGGCTAATTATCATCACTAGACACAGTGACTGAGGGGAAACCAGAGGAAATTCTTGAATTATGAAACTTTGGGTTTCCTGTCATTATTTCCTGCCGTGAATGAACAGGCTAGTGGAAAGTTCCGGATGACTTTGAAATGGTAGTGTAGGTTTAAGGAGAGGGAGATATCATTATCTTCTAGGAATTCTGGATCTTTCATTCCTTTCTTCTGCTGCAAAAAGGCCAACCAAAACTTCCCCCTCTCTCAATCAATTCCTCCCCTTCTACAGCAAACAAGGATACATAAGACCCGTCTTTATTTCAATGCCCTTTCCCTCTCTCTCTCTCTTCAATTAGAAATGTACATACCTAGCATGACAACTGGCCACTGGTCGATTCGGTGGTGTAGTCCTCTCAGGAACAGCTGGTGCAGCAACACCAACTCGTCACTAGAAGACAGAGGAAGGAGGGTAGGAGGGAGAGAGATGAAGCCAGATATGATTGATTGGGTAGTGAGAGGCAGACCTGTTGCGAAAGATCTGGTGACACTGGTCGAGTGAGAGAGGAGCCGAGCGAGAGTTGGCTGCCATGAGACACTGCTGGTGGAACTCCTCCTTCAAGATCATCAGTTGGCTCACGTAGTCTTCCTCTGAGGCTATGAACTTCCACAGCAACTGAGGGGAGAGAGGAGAGAGAGAGGAGAGAGAGGGAGGAAAGAGGAGAGAGAGGGGGAGAGAGGGGGAGAGGAAGGGAGAGGGAGAGAGAAGGGGGAGAGAAGGGAGAGGGAGAGAGGGGGGAGAGAGAGGGGAGAGAAAAGGGGAAATGCAGTTACAACAGTTGCTGTTGCCTGCTTGCTCACACAAACACTTCTCGTGAAGCAATTCTGAAACTCTTATCCTTTTTCTAAACACACACGCTCAAAAGGCACATTGGACAACACTCATCAGCATGCTTGCTTTTCATGTGTACCATGCACAGGAACACCTGTTGAGACAATGCACAGCATTCGGAGAAAAGCACTGCCACAGTATATGGAAGCTGCTTATTTCAAGCGTTACCAGGACACTATTGGATAGCAAGTTGTGAATGGCAGGAAGCCGCGTATACAATGTATATGGCTGCTCCACATCCGAGAGTTACTACTACATTTCTATAGGCATGACGTTGATAGTAGCTTCGTGTAGTGAGTGTGGAAAGCATCAGGGGTAAGGCTACCTTGTTTCTCATGCGAATCATGTCAGCAGACGGAGTTTTGAGGTAGTCGTTGACGACTCTTTTCCACTTTTTTCTGATGAGCCAACCTTTGACGTAGCTCTGGATCTATGGAGTCAGAGAAGAGAGAGAGAAGGGAGTAGGGAAGGGAGGGAGTTGGGAAGGAAGAGGAAAGAGAGAAGGGAAGGAAGGGAGTAGGGACAAGAGAACAAAACAAGCTACAAACACTCCTTAGACTCACAAGGAAATCGATGGAGTACTACAACAATAAGGAAGAATGTAGTTAACACATTCACTGAGTTTGTGCACCCAGTCTATACTATATACACTTGGCAGCCACTCTTTACACTAGGTGTATTATGTTATATCTAAGAGGGCTACAGTGTATAATGTAATATCTAAGGAGGGCTACGGTGTATAATGTAATATCTAAGCAGGGCTGTGGTGTATAATGTAATATCTAAGGAGGGCTACGGTGTATAATGTAATATCTAAGCAGGGCTGTGGTGTATAATGTAATATCTAAGGAGGGCTACGGTGTATAACGGGTAAACATGGTGTGAGATATTGTAAAGAGTATAAGTGAAAGTCAAAGGAATTGTGGCAACAATCAACCTGTTTTGATAAACAGCAGTCACAAGCATGCCAGGAAACTGTACCATGAGAGAGAGAGAGAGAGAGAGAGCCTACCACTTCTCTGGCCTGCTCCACAGTATCGGTGGAATGGGACTGGGACGGTACCGGACTGGAACTGAGTCTCGTCGAAAACTGAGATCTGTTTGAGCCCGATTTCCGTCGTCGTGGCGACAACCCCACGGCCTGGAGACAAGAGAGAACAAGGTGTGTGATGAAAAAAAAGTGTGGTCTTCGAACTCAATTGTTGAATTTGTGGAGATAATCAGCTGCCATTCTGAGCGGACAATAAAGACACTAAGCAACAGACAAAACACACCCCCACGAGGCTGCTACCATGGGAACCGCGGCCCGACACCCAAGATACGTAGACAGAGAGAAGGGAAAATGAACTTAGTTAAGAATAAGAGTGTGAAGGAGTAGAGAGAGACGAGACAGAGAGAGACCTACTCGTTTCATGTCGTTCTGAGCTCTCTGATTCACGTCTCTCAGATGCTGCAGCTCAGCCCCCATCGCTGCTAGAGACGCCTCCATTTGGCCACACTTCAACCTCAGTTCATCCAGATCATGTTGGACTCGTGATATACTGGATATAATAATAATAATAGAGGATGAGGAGGAGGTATGCAAAGCTGACAATGATTATGTCCACAGGTGATTGTCATAACAAGATTTTCCTCCCCAGCCCCCAACCTGCAGAGCTATAGTCTCGAATGATCTACAGGCCATCTGGGAAATGCCATATAGATCCATATCCAGAGAAAGCAGTGGGCAGAAGGCTTTAAGGGCTATAGAATCATTTCCTGCACCTCAGCTACAGGTAAGGATGCTGGGTTGTAAATGGCAGCCCACTTGCCACGTATTGTGTGCTACTTCAGTGCTGCTATATAGAACCAAGTGGTGGCACAAGTGGTGGGCGGAAGGGAAAATGATTTAGCAGCCACAGCTATTCACACAACCTCTCCCTCCCACACACCCGTAGAGTGACTGGCTCCACTCAGGAGAAGCCCCACCATACACACTCAGACGGGGCCATATAGTGTGTCCTGATTTCTAGTAAATAGGTGTCCGGATGGATTAGCCGTGTCCTGACTAGAAAACATGCTGCTGCTATCTGCGGCTAGTTGACTTACTTTGCATTCGAGATGGCATCTACCCATTCTTCGCGCTCTTTCTCTGTATTGGCACAGAAGAAGTACTGCTTGGCTGCCTCGTTGTCAGTACAAATCTTGAACCCTCCCTACCAACCAGGGAGAATAGAGAATTACAATTATTACCATTATTTCGGCACTGCATGCTGCACTATGTACACTGAAGGAAGCTACCTCAACGGAACTAGCTATAATATAGTTACATTATCATAGCTAGCAAACAAACTCGGGAAAACAATACGCGTCTGCTCTCTCCCTTTCTCCTACCTCTTTCTGTCCGGCGACAGACGCAACATCTTTGCATTGCGTCGCCTCTAGAAAGATCACCCCCAGCGGCCGAGTGCAAGATTCGCTCTCGAAATAGAAGAAGAAATTCTGGTAGACGCAGCAGTAGCGCGAGTGCATCTTCTTCTGTTTGGGGTCCGACTTGAGGAGGTAGCCTCGCTTCGTGCTTCCTCTCCCGCGGGCCTTCAGCGCCAAGTCCTGCAGATGCTGGTCGTCGAACTTCACCGATTGCGTGATGGTCGGCATCCCCGCTCCTCTGCCTTCTCTTCAACCGTGCTATTAGATCACTGAGTCTTTCTAATACAACTCTATTGCTATACTGGGTGCAGTGGACCGTTTTTAGCTGTTGTTTCGAAATGCAAAAGTCTACACGGGTTGTAAATTTTACGGAGAACGACGATACCTATGCGCATGCGCACAAGGTTCATGGAATACGTGGGGCTACAATACAACCGGTGTTAAAGAAGCCATTAAACACGAGCGGACGGGAAACGCAAACTTCCTCTACAGTCAGTAATCATTAAATCACAATGTCTGAATTGCGCAGAGTAGTAAAATGATGATAATGCAGTTGAACAAACACCAATGAATACACACACACACAATTCAGATAGAGCCAGAGTCGAAAAAACAACGATGATTGCGCAGTAACTCTGTAGTACACGGTAAAAATAAACAGGAGTCAAACATCGTGCCTGTGTGAATGTGTTTGTGTTCATGATTAATCAGTTCCGGTGGGTTTTCATGAACTGGAGAATGGTCCTGTAGCAGAATTCATACTGTTCGTCTGTCTGAATGGCGTATGCTCGTTGGTGGCGCAGCGCCCGCACTGCACCCTGTACGTTCACCGTCCCCTTCTCTCTGAACTCATCGATACAGTTGTGGATGACACAGAACGCTCCGCTTCGGCCGACGCCTGCACTGCAGTGGACGATGATCTTGTGATCGCCAGACGAGGAGGAAGGTTTGGTTGATCGTGTCGTCGTCGTGGCGTGTGCAGCGGCCTCTCTGACTACTGATATGAGGTCGAGAACTGTAGACCCACTGGTGGGAACACCGTAGTCAGGCCACGCAAGGAATTGGAAATGTTTTATGTTTCTCTCTACACCCTGAATGAGGTAGAGGAGGGAGGGAGGGAGAGGAGGGATGTAGAGAAGGGAGGGAGGGAGAGGAGGGAGAGGAGGGAGGGAGAGGAGGGAGGTAGAGGAGGGAGGGAGGGAGAGGAGGGAGAGGAAGCAGAAAGATGACAAAACTAACATTGAAAGTAGAGCAGAAGAATACTAGGAAATCCACTTAACCTTACACCCTACCTCAGCAAAGGGATTTCACAGGACGCAACATTCACGAATGAAACATAATTCATGATTTTTGCACATTTGAGCTAAGATTCCCACTTATCGATCTACACACATGCTTCAGAGCAACAATGTTGGTACCGTAGGAATCTTGGAGCCTGCAGACACTGTGCATGTGGTATGCATTGGAATTAACACAAGACCAGGTTTGTGTCACACGCTGTGTCCTTGCAGTGAAGAACAAAAAAACAAAGATGTAAGACTCACAGTGCAAGAGATGTTCATGGTCCTCAGCTCATATCCCTCATACTGTTGGAGTCTGGACACCGTCACTGTCACATTCCCATACTGGACCACGCCCTCTTCGGGCCAGTACTGGGTACACTTGTGTCGTCCCAGTTCCACACACTTGGTCGTCATGACGATCACGTGGACCTGCTGCTCCCACACCATCCGCCAGAAATCGACCAGCGTCTTCTTTGTTGGACCTGGAGACAGGAGGAAGCCTCTTTATTAATTGCTGAGTGGAGCAAGAAAGTCAGCAAAACTATTAGTAAACTGAGAAATGCCAGGTGGAGCGAGTCACACCTGGTGTACCAGCCAGCTCCCTAGCCACCACAGCGGCTGGAGGAGAATGGTCGGCACCAGGAAGAGTTTCAAAACAGTGGAATTGGTCTGGCTGGGGTCCCAGAGCCAATAAGAATGTCGGCCACACAAGGCAGCGTCCTCTTGCCGCCTGGGCTTATAGGAGAGCCCCACTGCGTGGATGTTGCATAACTGAGACACACCTTGGGTGAGGACGAATGCCTTTGGTTTCTTGTATGAGGAGACGTAGTTGGCATGGATGTAGTCAGATCCCTATTAATGAGAGAGGAGGGGGAGGGGGTAGAGAGAGAGAGATGGGGAAGAGGACAAAGATAAGGAAAAGGACTCATTAGAGTAACGAACAAGTACACAGTGAAAACGAGGATATTATTGTGATGAGTTACTGAGATGGTGTGAGGCATACCTCGAACATCACCAGGAGACGTGTTTCCACGAAGACAGAACTCGCGCGTTGTACGATAACACCGCCCATCCTTGTTACCGGTTCTTAGGCAATCTTGCAGGCCAGCCTCCCTGGCAACAGACAAGGAACGCTCTTGGGACTGATCGCAGCGTACTCCGATACCGCGCGCCGTGTGGTGTGGTGTGGGTGAGAAGAGGAAGAGAAGAGGAAGGAGGGGAGGGTAAGAAGGAGGCAACGAGTACGAAAGATAGCGAAGGAAATAACATAGACGTTCTTAACATTTGCCTGCAGTGACCTCCACAGCTATTGATGGCTGTGGAGAAGTAAGATAATTGCAGGTAGGTGCGGGAGATGTACTGTAAAGGTGTAGTAAGCTTGCCACGTGTGACAAAACAGTCACAGACCCAACACATTTGGTATTGTTCGTTCGTGACTAACTAAT